TTTTTTAGACCGTCGATTTTTGATGAAAAAATAAGGCTATTAGGCTTGGTAAAATCATCGAAAATTTTTGGCAAAATTTTTTGTCTAGAAACAGAATAAATACTTCAGATCATGTTAGAAAACAAGAACCGAGCTAGTTTGAAGTAAGAACCTTTTCTGGGAAAAAAAATGATTCTTTTTAGCCGTCATTTTCTGATAAAAGTAAGGCTATAGGCTGGTAAAATCATCGAATTTTTCGCAAAATATTTTGTCTTAGAAACAGAATAAATTACTTCAGAATCATGTTAGAAAACAAGAACCGAGCTTATTGAAGTAAGAACCCTTTTTTAGAATAATTAATGATTTTTTAGACCGTCGATTTTCGATGGAAAAAGTTAAGCTATAAGGCTTGGTAAAATCATCAAATTTTTTCGCAAATTTTTTTGTCTAGAAACATAGAATTACTCAGAATCATGTTAGAAACCACAGGAACCGACTAGTTTTGAAGTAAACACCTTTTGGAAAAATACATGATTTTTGAGCCGTCGATTTCGTGAAAGTAAAGGCTATAGCTTGGTAAAATCATCGAAATTTTTCGCAAATTTTTGTGTCTAGGAAACAGAAAAAATTACTCAGAATCATGTTAGAAAACAAGAACCGAGCTTAGTTTGAAAGTAAGACATTTTTTTGAATAAATAAAATGATTTTTTAGAGCCGTCGATTTTCGATGAGAAAAGTAAGGCTTATAGGATTGGAAAAATCATCGAAAATTTTCGCAAATTTCTTTTATTTAGAAACAAAGAAATTACTTCAATTATATAGAAAACAAAACCGAATTATTTTGAAGTAAAACCCTTTTTTGGGAAAAAAATATGATTTTTAGAGCGCTCATTTCGATGAAAAAGTACAGGCTATAAGCTTGGTTAAATCATCGAATTTTCGCAAATTTTTCTCAAATTTTTTTGTCTAGAAACAGAATAAATTACTACAATATCATGTTAAAAACATGAGCCGTGTTCAGTTTTGAAGTAAAAATCCTTTTCTGGAAAAAATAATGATTTTTTAGAGCCGTCGATTTTTGATGAAAAAGTAAGGCTATAGGCTTGGTAAAATCATCGAAATTTTTGGCAAATTTTTTTGTCTAGAAACAGAATAAATAACTTCAGAATCATGTTAGAAAACAAGAGCCGAGCTTAGTTTTGAAGTAAGAACCCTTTTCTGGAAAAAATCATGATTTTTTAGAGCCGTCGATTTTCGATGAAAAAGTAAGGCTATAGGCTTGGTAAAATCATCGAAATTTTTCGCAAATTATTTTGTCTAGAAACAGAATAAATTACTACAGAATCATGTTAGCAAACAAGAACCGAGCTTAGCTTTGAAGTAAGAGCCCTTTTTTTGAATAATTAATGATTTTTTAGACCCGTTGATTTTCGATGAAAAAGTAAGGCTATAGGCTTGGTAAAATCATCGAAATTTTTTTGCAAATTTTTTTGTCTTGAAACAGGGCAAATTACTTCAGAATCATGTTAGCAAACAAGAACCGAACTTAGTTTTGAAGTAAGAACACTTTTCTGGAAAAAATCATGATTTTTTAGAGCCGTCGAATTTCGATGAGAAAGTAAGGCTATAGGCTTGGTAAAATCATCGAAATTTTTCGCAAATTTTTTTCTCTAGAAACAGAATAAATTACTATAGAAACATGCTAGCAAACAAGAACCGAGCTTAGTTTTGAAGTAAGAACATTTTTTTGGAAAAAATAAAGATTTTTAGAGCCTTCGATTTTCGATAAAAAAGTAAGACTATAGGCTTGGTAAAATCATCAAAATTTTTCGAAAATTTTTTCGTCTAGAAACAGAATAAATTACTTCAAAATCATGTAAGAAAACATGAACCGTGTTCAGTTTTGAAGTAAAAACCCTTTTCTGGAAAAAATCATGATTTTTTAGAGCCGTCGATTTTCGATGAAAAAGTAAGGCTATAGGCTTGGTAAAATCATCGAAATTTTTCGCAAATTATTTTGTCTAGAAACAGAATAAATTACTACCGAATCATGTTAGCAAACAAGCGCCGAGCTTAGTTTTGAAGTAAGAACCCTTTTTTGGAAAACATAAAGATTTTTTAGAGCCGTCGATTTTTGATGAAAAATTAAGGCTATAGGCTTGGTAAAATCATCGAAATTTTTCGCAAATTTTTTCCTCTAGAAACAGAATAAATTAATTCAATAAGATGATAAGAAACAAAAACCAAGCTTGATTTTGAAATAAAAACCCTTTTTCGGAAAAAAAAATTACTTTTAGCGCCGTCGATTTTCGATGAAAAAGTAAGGCTATAGGCTTGGTAAAATCATCGAAATTTTTTTGCAAATTTTTTTGTCTTGAAACAGGGCAAATTACTTCAGAATCATGTTAGAAAACAAGAGCCGAGCTTAGTTTTGAAGTAAGAACCCTTTTTTAGAAAAAATCATGATTTTTTAGAGACGTCGATTTTCGATGAAAAAGTAAGGCTATAAGCTTGGTAAAATCATCGAAATTTTTCGCAAATTTTTTTGTCTAGAAACAGAATAAATTACTTCAGAATCATGTCAGAAAACATGAACCAAGTTCAGTTTTGAAGTAAAAACCCTTTTTTAGAAAAAATCATGATTTTTTAGAGACGTCGATTTTCGATGAAAAAGTAAGGCTATAAGCTTGGTAAAATCATCGAAATTTTTCGCAAATTTTTTTGTCTAGAAACAGAATAAATTACTTCAGAATCATGTTAGCAAACAAGAACCGAGCTTAGTTTTGAAGTAAGAGCCCTTTTTTTGAATAAATACTGATTTTTTAGACCCGTCGATTTTCGATGAGAAAGTAAGGCTATAGGCATGGAAAAATCATGGAAATTTTCGCAAATTTTTCTTTAGAAACAAAAGAAATTACTTCAATATGATCATAAGAACCAAAAACCGAGCTTAGTTTTGAAGTAAGAACCCTTTTTTGAAAAAAAAATGATTTTTTGAGCCGTCGATTTTTTATGAAAAAGTAAGGCTATAGGCTTGGTAAATTCATCGAAATTTTTCGCAAATTTTTTCTTCAGAAACAGAAGAAATTACTTCTATATGATCTTAAAAAACAAGAACCGAGCTTAGTTTTGAAGTAAGAAACCTTTTTTTGAAAAACTGATGACTTTTTAGAGGCGTTGATTATCGATGAAAAGTAAGGGTATAGGCTTAGAAAAATCATCGTTTTTTGAAAACTTTTCCTTCCAAAATTAGCCTAATTTATTTTAATATGATCATAAAGAAGATGAATCGAGCTTAGTTCGGGAATACGATCTTTTTTTTGTAATTGGGTGGTTACAAAAGGTTAGCTTAATCAAAATATAGTTCATCTCTGTTGTGCAGAAATGGAAGCCTATAGCCCTGTAAAAAATCATGCTTTTACAAGGTCACTTTTTCATTTAGTATCTCATGAAATTTTTCATGAACGCAAGTTCAAGCAAGCATTAGACGTGTATAAGGACCCAATTAGGTGTTTATAAGGAAAGAATTAGACCAAGTTTGATGTTAGATTTTTGCCTAAAATACATAAAAAAATTGTCATTTTAAGGTCTATGAAAGCTTTATACGAGCTTGTCTTTCTCATTTCGTATTTGCAAGCGAAGAATTTGGGAAAAATTGATATTATAATTTCTTGGAAAAAAAGTAAGCCTGTAGATTTAGAAATTTTGCAATTTTCGAAGGTCAACTTCTATACTTGAAAACGTATAAAGTTTGTCATGCTGGGTCTAGACGCGAATATGATTTCCATTGTGTTTCTGAAATGAAAGTTTTTGACCAACTTTGAAGTCATCACTTTTTGGCAAAAATGTAAGCCCATAGCTTTTGGAAAAATCTCAAACATCTTAGAAAACTTTTGTGTAGAACGAATCAGCTTTCTATCTTGGCTCAATCAAAACGATCACTTTGGCATACCTTCCACCTGGCCATATTAGTCTTGATATCCAGTGCGCAAAGTATTTACAGTGCAAATTTGATAGTTCTCCGCAAAATGAGGTATTATGATGTAACATAACGGGAATTTGAGTTCATGTGGGTGTGACCTAAAAGATGGTTAGGTTACTTGCAGTGCCAAAAGGCTTAGACAAGATTAGGATTATTTGTAATCATTAACTCACCAAAATTTCTCCTAGCCTTTCAAGTGAGCCATTTGATTGGGTGGCATTCTCTCTTCATCACTGGTGCTAGCAATCTTCAAATAGGTGCATAGAAAAATATCTGACAAAAGAAAATTATGATCGATTTAGAGGACACGCAAGATTTGTTGTTAATTGGACACTTTAGTACAATGATTTTACAAGAATGCTCTCTGACAAAAAAAGTTCTTCTTGTTGATACAATTTCCCCTTTACAATTATTTTCAGCGACCGCCATTCTTTTTTATGCAAGGCAAGGTGACCTTTGTTTGGGTAAAATTTCCCCTTCACAATTATTTTCAGCGACCGCCATTCTTTTTATGCAATGCAAGGTGAGCTAATCCATTGTTTGGTTGTCCTGTCGTGCAAGGCAAAGGTCATAGTAAGACGTCAAACATCAAATTGTCCCCCTTTTCTTAGCTATAACACTCCCTTTGAATTTGCCCCTTTTCTGAAAGCAAATGAAATGTAGTATGGAGGTGTAAATTAAGTTAAAAACTTACATGCCTGGCTGCTTTCGCTTTGCTTAATCAAAAACCTGTGGTTGTTCTAGAATGTTTCAGGCGGATGAGCTTGGCCTTCCGACAAGAAAGGGGTGGGGGGGGGGGGAGAGATATCGTCCTCTACCTCATCACCTAGTCCCATCCGTATTAAAAACGGAAATATTCAACCAAAGAAATCGATGTTTCATCTATATATCTGGCGATTGCATCAGCCGGACCAACAATAAAAGTCCTGTATTTTTATAGTAATGTTCATATTTCTATGATGTAGAATTCACTGCAACGTTAAGAAAGGGAATAAATTTTCCATTTCGTGTTTGAAAAGAAGCCAGTAGACACTAGTTCAAGAAAATAACAGTTAGTCAGCAGGCTAAGAGCATGGCACGAGTTCTAATCGCAAATTTAGCATAAATGTGAGTAGAAATTTTTCAAAAAAAATTAATCGTAAGTTTTGAAGGTCACTTTTTGTTGCAAAACAAGTTTGAAATTAACTTCACTTTATCGACAATCCAGAGGCTTAAAGGCTATATTACAAATTTAGACATAAATGTTGGCCACGCTTCCAAATTACGTAAACCTATATCATTAGAAAATTTGATAGGTCGACGGATTTTTATCCTAAACTGAAAAACATTAGGGTTAAACTTGGTCGGATGTTAATCTTACCAATAATTGCAGTATGAAGGCAGCTACGAAGTACAAACAAGTTTAATGCTTGCAACGAAAGCGAGCAAACTACACAATGCGGATATTACTACGAATTATAGCTGCAAATATGCACCAAATAGAAATGCATTGATCGAAAATAAACTCGAAAATAAACTCAAGTAAACAAATCAGCAATGCATTACTGCAAAGTTGTTGAAAGAGGAGATAACTTACTGCAAATATGTCATGGAAGCTAAACGTTTGTTTTCGGATGCCTCGGCTAGGCCCAAACACAGCCTGGAAAATACAAAGCCATCGTCCGCTTCATTGGACTCGACAACATAGCTTCTATTTCCCAAAGGAATACACTGACTCAATCTATAGCTACAGTTCCCAAGGGTACACTAAATGCGTATTTTTGCTAAGGGTAAAAGTGAAGTTCAAAGGTCAGCCAAGTTCAAAAGCCGATGAAAAAACTGCTGAAATTCAACACTATCTGAAAAGGTAGAAACAATTTATGCTTATTTAATACTGAAGTTGCATTTATTGTGGGCATTTTCATGTAGAACCATAAGGTTTGGAGAACTGCACAAGATGGTAGGGGAGGGGGGGCTGCAAGAGTGGTTTAACGAATACTCAACTCGTTGGGTATTGGTATCGAAGACTGAAATGAATGAGGCAATATCATGCAGTTTTTCTAACTGTCTTTTTTTAAGCTCTCTAGATTCTAACAGTATTTTTTAAGCACAACCAAAAAAGCTTTTAGAAGAATAAAAAGTCACAAAACATTGAAGAAAACATCAAATTAAGGAAATATTTCATAAATAAATACAACGTTAGAATACATGAAAATTGTTTATTTAAATATGCGTAGTATGTTCATCATGAAATTGTGACGAAGATTTAAAAATCGAATTTAAGAACAGCCATACATTAATATCAACAATATCGAACTTTATTTAAGACAAAATCGTGTGTATAGAAGCAAAATCGATTTATTAAATAACTCTAATAACTGAGCAACAAGTCTTACGACATATAAATGAAGTGGAGCTCAAAAGGAGAATCGGGAACATTCTGAGAAAATCGAAGCCTTTAATGACAGGAGAGTAATGACAGGTGAGTAATGACAGGATAACGATGAAAGGATAGCAACGAGAGGATAGTAATGGCAGGGCAGCAATGACCAGATTGTAATGACAGGATACTTTTGGCAGAATTAATGACAATATAGTAATGACAGGATAGTAATGACAAGATAGAAATGGCAGGATGGTAATGACAAAATAGTAAGGAAAGGATGGAAATGACAGGATAGTGAGAAATTGTCTTCATTTCTTGTATTTGCAGAGAAACTTTGATAGAAAACAGGTAACTCTAAATGTGCAATCTGCTCTGTATAAAGAGCTGTCCAATTTGTCCTCACGTTGCTTCTCTGGGAATGCATTCAAAGATATAAACATTTTCATTTTTGTTGCTGCTGTGATTGTGATGCTTGCAGAGGTCCGTGTCATTTTTTGACCTGCATGCAAACACTTTTCCCGGTGTTTGGCTTATCTAGGTAGAGTAGAGATATAGATTTTGCCAAAAGGTCCCTAATGATAAAACATCGTAAAGATTGTGAGAGGGTTTCCTGCATTTTCTATGCATTCAGCAAAAAGATTACATAATAATTGCCTCAATACCATAAAATATTGTCTCTACTTTTAATTTAAAACAATAAACATTCTACGTCTACCACTTTGAAAGTAAGCGAAAAATATCATTTTGATTATAAAAGATACTGCAATTACAATATTATATTTTTTGCCTCAGCATTAATTTTCTGATGGTGATTGTATAAAATTCTTTTGGCAACATTTGTCTGTCATCTCTGAAAATACTCACCTTCATCCCAGAAGATGAGGATATTTGGGGGAAATTTTGGAAAGGTGATAAGTTCTCTTGTGCTCTTAAAGTTCACTTGTTTAGGGTTTTGACCTTTTTGCTTCTCTGGATAACTAAAACAAATCGTGCCTTTTTATAATCATTCAGCTACATAAGTGGCCTGGGTACCAACAAAAAATAGCTATAACTAATATCACCATCTAGTTCATGTAATTACGGCAAAGGGGGTTCATTGTTTATGAGTCCAGGGTACATGGATAAAATACGATGGTGAAGTAAAAGAAAAGGAATTAGCAGCATGCACCCATTCTTCGTCCCTCTTGTCTGGTTCTCTTGCTTCATCATGCACACATGCAACACAGAAGTTTGAAATTTACCAGACAGTGCCCCAGTTTTTTATCGATGACCATTCTGCAGCAGAGTTGATCGAGTAAGGCATCATTTGTGTTTGATCGTAATTGCAAGCTGATCAACAGGGGGTCACTATAAATGGCTGATATTCGTCAGAAACTGATTTGAGCTGGAATACCAGACAAACTGTTTAGTAAGAATGCGTTGCTTGGTGATTGTGATGCATGTTTTAAATTTTCGATTTACAAAATCTATCCACTACCTTGGTTCTGGATCTTTGTGATTGGTGGTAAAGCGTCCATGTGGAACTTAGTGACTGAAGACGGCCCTGATATATTAGTTTGGTCTAAAAAAGTCGTTTTATATGGATCAACACCTCTGTTCATCATCCTTGGAGTCACTGGTAGTCCTTGTGGAAGCTGAAAGTCACTGGTTTCCTTCAAAAAAAGATCGTTGTGGTCTTTAACATGAATTTACAGAAAAAGACGACCAAAAAGGCCTAGAGAAGCATGCAGTATAAACCTTTTTCTATTACTTTATTTTAACAATTCAGTTGTAAATAAAACTTTTTACATTTATTAAATTTTTACCTTTTTAACGCAACAGTTGTTATTAGGTAGGAATACAGGTCCTTGAATGATAACGGGTGGTATTGCATCTGATCAAGTCAACTGATGGTCTTAGATCTGATCAAGTCAACTGTTAAAATATCAGTTATCATTATCATAATTATTTCAGAAAATTGCCTCGAAATTTATGGGCATCTGGGAGACTTCTAGTAATAATGTTCGCACTTCAAATGACGTAACCCAGGCTCACCGGAGTGTATAATGCTTTAAACGGCGAGCAAACATTGGCTCCAACTGCCCCTTCGCTGACTAACTTCCCATCCACTTGACTGAAGTGATTCCTCCTACTCTTTCGGTCGTTCATTCTTCTTCTAAAGCTTTCGTTATAATTTTCCCCGAGAATGGACTGATGATGAAAAGAAGCATGATCTTCATTCACTGATGTTACCCACTTAGAAAAAAATTGTCATTACACTTAAAACACTTTGGTACAATTGGCTTGGAATGCTCTCTGCGAAACATCAGCTTTCAATATTTCAATTTGAGCATTCAAATTAGCATTACAGATTTCATAGCCAAAGCAGTGGGATAGCAATGAATGAAAAATGATAAGAGATAAAAGCAAGCACTTGAAAATGGTGTTACAAGAGCTACATTCAATAACATGTGACAAAAATCAGACAAATTCAAGGCGAAATCTGTTTCAATGATTTCCGGAAACGACATATAAGCAAGCACTATCCAATAGCCTACCCAGACGTCGCTTCTATTTGCTGCGTCATCTACTATCATCGTTCTGGATCGATAGTATTCTGTGTTGGTCCACAGTGACTTGCTTTCATTTTCCGAAACATTTGAATCAGCTGGTGACCTGCCTCTGGACACTGGCATTGATGGTGTGGAATAGGGCCTTAAAAAATAGAAGCACGAGAAAAAGTTAAAAAGCTAGCCTTATGCTACATTGAATAAAATGAAATTTTACAAAATTTATCAATGTGTATTGCCGGCAATTTTATTCAAGCAATTGACTGCAATACGTTTCATAGTTATCAAAATAACAGACATAAATGAGTTCAATAAACCAAGAGAATCTGAACAGCCTGATCAAAAAAAGCCAAATCTTCCATTGCTGTAGACAAAAAAGTAGGAAATATAATTTTTTTGGGTTTTGCACCTATGAAAACTTTTGATTACGTGGCTTCACTTTCAAGAGAAACATTCCTTTTGTTTTAAATTGTATTCACGGGTTTGGAAGCTTTTTGTGACACTAAAAAGTGCATGTTTGTTCAAGATAGATTTTAATAAGCCACATGTATCATCTGAAACGAGCACTGATTTGCAGGAACGAAGGCAAGACAATGAAGTATTCTAAAGACTTATTGCAAAGATACGCTACGGTATCAAAGGTTTCTAACTTTATTCAAATGAAGTAGGGGGAGAGAAAATTAACCGGGGAAGAGTTTGAGAACGCGTCAATTCTCCTTATTCTTAATAATTAAAATTTAGAAACTGACAAAATATAGGTTATTATATTACACAATTCAAAAATACCAAACCTCTTCTCGTCCTCCGGTATAATTTTAAACGCTTTTGGTAGGCCATTTTCTTTTGCTTTTGAGCTTTTGTGCTTTCTTTTCTCAGTCAAACTATCCCCGGCTATAACAATAGGTAATGAGCCATTAGCAAACATAAAAAAAAACAAAAATAGACATAATGAAAATATTGAATAAAAAATGAACAGAACATTATATATGTTAGAAAGAAATAGATAGAAAAGAAAAGACAACAAATGTATTATGTGCGATATCCAAAGTTTCTTCTGAAGTCTATTTACTTAACATTGTTTGGTTTATATAATGACGACATGTTTCGGATAATTGGCAGAGCCCGGTCGTCCTTCCATCTGGCAGTTTTGGAGTCAATCTACATAAAAACGAAAAAGCCGCCATTGTGTAAACAAAAGGAGTTCGTTTTCTCTCTTGGACTCCATTGGTAATTTTTCTTTAGGCTCGCGGCACTGATTGGTCAACCATACCGGTCTTGTGCTTGCGTTTTTCTTATTGGCCTATTTCGATCCACAACTGGGTATATATTTTTCCATCGTGTTTTTTCGGAACCTATTCTGACGTTTTATGCTCTGAGGAGTGTCAGACGAAAAAGCTTTTAGTATGTCGTAAAATGTTTGCTTTTTTCAAAGCCATTGTTTGGTTTAGTAGAGCAGTACCTGATTTAGGTGCCATGTCTCTTTTTGACCTGGTTCTCAAGCATTTGGTTGGTTGTGATCTGCAAATAAGTACTAAGATTTGAGTATCAACAGTTGAAAGGATTGGAGTGAATATAAAAAAGACACCTGATAAAACTGAATCATCAAAAAGGAGACAATCAGCAGAATATTGCTGGAATAACGATTACATATAACCTATTGGTTATCTATTTACACAAATAAAAAAGATCTAACTATTTCGACTTACAGAAAAGATGTTGGATCCGAGAGGTCCCAGCTATTGTGCTAAAAGAAAATCACAAGTAAAAAAGCTTGAAAACATTTTCCCCATATCATTGGCCGATTTAAAACGAATGACACATTCATGTCGTTTATAATGACTAGTTTTCATAGGGTAAGATATCAGGATTAGTCAGTGGGCACTCAAAATAGAGCTATTTAAATATGAATTCAAAAATCGTAATTCCTATTTTTAGGATTTGATTTGTACTATTTTTTCTAAAAGAAATCTATGGAATATTTCTGAAAATATCTGCTAAGTTTGCTATCCATAGGTCTAACAGGTTCTAAAGTGTAAATCTGTTTCGAAAATTTTCAAAAATCTGTTTCGAAAATTTTCAACTTTTGACTACAATATAAACTTAACGATCTCCATAAAATAAGTCAAAATATAGAAAACAGTTTAATATGTTAATGACTGGATGGGACTTGGCCTATTAAATATTCAAGTTTGCTAACAAGTTACGTTTGCTTCGTTCATAAAGTTTTGAACAGAGACAAAATCATAATGATATAAAAGGGAGAGAGTATCTGCTTATGTAGCCATATCTTAGCCGATTTCTAACATATCAAGCCGATTTGCATATTGTGAGTGAGGTGGCATTCCACGATGCTTATTCAGGTTATATGATCCGAATTCGAAAATTCGAAAAATAAATTTTTGTGACGTCATAACTTTTGAGCTATTGCCCCTGAAGACCTGAATTTATAGATGGATTAGGAATGTTTCAGAAAAATTCATTTAAAAGTAGTCTGTTCTCAATTGGCTCCGTCACAGATAAGTCAAGACAGATTCAGCTCTCTTTTTCACATGTAGGACTAATTATAAAACAAAAAATTTAAAAATCGAAAAAATTCCATAGCCTATCATCATTCCCCCACTCAAAAGCTGTCAGGTTCACTGTTAGTGTACTCACCTGGCCAAACATGCCAACAAGAGCACCAGTTAGTGTCCATAACTTTACAGATCCGTCAGTTGAACCTGATACTACGTATGAACCGCTTTCATGAGCAACAAACTGGACACTGACAACTCCCCCAAAATGAGCTGACCATTTTGCATGTTTGAACGGAGGATCTCTGTTTGTATGCGGTATCAAGTTTCCATTCTTTCTATTGAGTACCTAGGAGAAAAAGAAGCATGGGACCATGTTCACTTCTACAAAATATATGAAAACAATCTACAACCATATCTTCAGAATTTCTATAATCAACACGAAGGCAACTTCTTGAAATGGTACTGTCGAAATCAGGGTGGCCTCAAAAGTGTTAATACAGTACGGTACAGTTAGGCTTATTAAGGTTTTGCAAATATCTTTGTAGGAGATAACCACAATAGCTTGCAAATATCGTATAAATCTAAAAAAAATTAAGTATCCATTTAAATAGCTTATATATTTTGGTTTACCCTAAATAATGCTTTCATGCAATGACGGTAGTGACGTCCAGCTGGGTTCAAACAAATTCTTACATCTATTCTGAGACAGTTTCCCTGGCCTTTCTGGAAGTTGAACTTGCCACTTTGTACCTGTTCCACAAATCTAATTTATATCGAACTGATAAATAACTTTTCATCTAGCCCACAAAGGCTAAAATATCCCACCAAAGCCCCATGAGAAATGCCTGCATTTCGAAATGAAATTTCTCCTCTTTCTCCATTCTAACTTTAGGCTTCGTACATGCTTGTGATAGTATGATACTAAAACGAACAAAACATACCTGGTCCACTACTTCCTTGAATGTTTTAACATTGCAATATCTACTTATGTCCCAAACCACAACAACTCCTTTTGAATCACCACTGATCAGATAGTTGTTTAGAGCGTCAGTGTGTACAGACAGAATGGTGCTCTCTTTGGTGCTTGCAGCATGAAATGATGCTATAAGAATAGAGAATAGAATAATGAATTATGATACACATGGATGGCCAAGGCTGTGTACAAAATTCTTGAAAATAAGGTTCAATCTCATTGTAATCACTCATCTTGGTCGGAAACCAGCCCTCTTTGCCGATTGCAATGTCCCCTGAGCCACAGAGGCCCATTTAAAAAATCGAATCTGCTAATCAACATAATTTATGACCACTGTACTAAGGCAAAGGTTTTTCTGTTTTGGCTGTAAGCCTTTGACAGAACCACTACACCTAATCACGTTATACATAAAAAATAGACAGGGTGCATTAACAGAAATATTTTCAGGTGAATCCAATCCACGGGTCTATAATTGGAGTCCTAGATATGACCAAACTTTAGCAAAGAGTGAGGCGAGTTACCAGCTCTCTGTAATTCATGCCAGGCATAGTAATCATGAGGTGGGGTCACATCAAAAGGAGGGACCCGGACACTGCTCGATAAGCATATCTCCCCACAAACTGAAAGCTAACTTTGGAAGTTGGGTAGCAACAAATACTGTAGAGATTATATTGTATGATTCAAAATGCCTAGAATCGTGATTCAAGGAAAAATATAGACGCCATTCACATGATATATACTAGTTGTCACTTGTCACATGTGTAGTGCGAAATAAACTTACACAAAGCTTTGTAAAATCCTACCTGATGGTTTTGTCACGCCAAAAACAGGCCAGAATTCGATTTTACCAGCTTCTGTGGTAACAAGCACAGCACTTTCTTGGTATGAGCGATTAGTGAGGAATAACACATTATCTACAGGGTACACAGGCTCTGCCTCTTCGCTGGATAATGAGAGAGAAAAATAAATGGAACTTGCTTTGATTTAATGAATAAAGACGTTTCGAGAATAGCCCGTTGTCATAATAACGGGCTATGTTCGTAAATTCGTTATTCATGAAATCAATTATCTGTTCCTGGTACAATTTACCTACATTCGTAGTTTCTGTATCATTATATTGTACCGCAAGCAATCTAGGAAAACTACGAAGGGTATAGACTGTAATGAAAGTGTAATGTAACAATTAATCCGTGTCGACAGTTTCATTGACGTAAATAGGAAGATTTATATTTTTCTCGATACAGTAGCGATGAAACTGCTGCTGTCCCATCTGTGATAAAAACTATTATCTGTTGCTTCTATAGCACTACTCAGATGAGCAACAGAATATCTTGCGGTTGGTTTTTTGTGTTGCAAAATAGCTCTAAACCTAAAAACGCAAAAATGTAATTACAGACTTAGATCCTGTTTCTTTCTTTTTACAACTGGATAATGGCGGTAATCAAATAACACGTAAAGGTAGACCGAGTGTTACGGACGTCAAACAAAATTTCCAAAAAATCAAGGCTAGCCAAGAGTACCTTCGAACCAAGCCCAGATCTTCGATTTTCTTCTTCCTAAAATAAGTGATGCATCAAAAGGTAAATATATTTCAGAATGATGCTTCTATCCGAGGTAAAAATGTGGCAGTTTCAAAGCTAACTACTGCAAAAATCACGTTCAATAGCACAATAAAAAACATTTCCCACAAAACTTTCCCACAAATTTTTCTTGCTTTGACCTTTCACAGCAAAGGTTTAAGTTATAACAGATACTCTCTGTGGATTAAAAGTTATCTTATGTCAAGCATTAACTAACTGAAAATTTTACTTGAATATAAACCAAACACTCTGTTTAAGCAGTTGCATACTAAATGGTTACATATATAATTGACTGTATAATGCAGTGAGGTATTGAACTGAATTTCAATTTCCTTCACTGTTTATCAAAAGCTACTTCTTATGTCAAGGTTTTGCATTACATTTTCCTTTGAAGTAATGACTTAAAGGTACAAGTAATGACAACAAAGTACCATGCCAGCTACTTGATAGTGAAATCTACTTAGATAAGATGAAGAATTCTACTTGTATCTGATTATATCATAAGGCTCAAGATTCATAACAAGGTACTTCAACACAATCTACTTTCATTAGAAGACATGATACAACCAATGTGGTTAGAATTCGCAATATTCATCGGGGCAAGAAATTGGCTCAAACATGTAAAAAACAATAGCTTCATAATTATCAGAGTCAGTAGCTAGGAGTAAGTACTAATTATTGGGCAAGAGTTGATTTGTTCAAACAGATGAATCCAAATATATGATCATATCAGAGTTCATTGTGATTGAGAAAGTAGAAATCAGAAAAATAATCCAAATTTAATAATGAATTGGCTGCTCACAGAATACTCTCTTTGCCAGCTTTCAGTTTGCGATAAATTTTCTCTCTCTCAAGACTCCAAATAAACACACCACCATCAAAGCTGCTCGTCGCGATTAAATTTGGAGGGTAGTATGAAGCAGAGAGTATGTCATCCTAAAAGAGACAAACTTTCAATATTAAAGGAAGTTTCAGCGTTTAGTCAGAAGGCCACTGTTTTGGGTATTGTAGCAAAGTGGCTGAGCTATACTTGGGATAAGCAAAAATGGAAAAGTGACATCAGCGGAATAAGACATCGTTTACATTGGCAGATTATAAATTGAGCAGCTAAGGTGAAGCTGGAAAATAAAGATCTGTATGTTGGTTATGGTAAAGGAAAATATGGCATAGTAGTGATTATGCAAAATATTAGATACTAGGTTGCTTTCGGTCGATCACAATAACATTTTAGATCTTTTTAAAACCAAGCAGAGGGTGTTGATTAATATTACAAATAATTTGAAGATGCCATCAACCTTTATATTCTCGTGCAGCTTGAAATTTAGAGTCTTGCGGAATCATACAGTTGAGAAAAGCGGAAATTTTGTACAGAAATGATAGGAAGGGGGGGGGGGATTAATAAACTTACTGTGTGTGAATCAAGCTTCGACCAAGTTGGATCAGCAGTGGAAGTCCCACCCTGACGAAACAAAATAAACAATAACATTATTCAATAGCAAACACGCATATTTACAGCTTAAAGCATTACCAGAAAGAATATTAACCTTTTTCTGTAATATTTTAGTGCAAAGAATTACAATAAAGGCTTCTTTTTGTAGAGCTTGTTTAGGATAGAATAATTTGATCATACAGTGAGTTGATTTTGGCGTCAGTGGTAGTATCACGTCTCATCAAGGAAGACCTTTTTACAACGAAAACCAATCTAATATCAAAATAGCTCTAAGAACTTTAATCACACAACAACAAAGCATCTATCTCAAACCTTCTCATAACAGAAAATGCAAATACGATTTGCCTTCAAGTCGTTTAGTATACAACACCCTTTGAAACATTTAAAGATTTTTTAATGTACACTATCGTAAACAATTTTAAACAACACACTTACACACGGAATCCTTTCCATCTAAGAAACTTTATACGATGAAGTTATAAAGTAATACAAATAGGGTTTACAAAGCATGGAACAATTGCTGGTAAAACCTAATGGCTTGCCATACCTCTAATGTATCACTATACATTAGGAGTTTTCTGCTCCATCCAACAGTTAAAATTTGCTCTCTCTCGGGAAATGCAATGATACCAGTTATTTCCGCTTCTTCGTAAGCTTCAACTTGTTTTTCAAGCAATCCTGTTGTGAGATTCCAGATCTGCAGATTTGAATCAACAATTTAGCAAGGAACATTTTATTGTGGGAAACAGACAAATGGACGGTCTTGTGTCCTAATGATTCTACAGGCCTAAAGATCCTACTGGCTTAACGATTCTACTGTCTTGATACTGAAGATTAAGAGTACCAGGTATTTTTGCTCTGTATGGCAGCAGATTATCGTTGCTTTACACAAGGCAATATATCTGCAATGAAAAGACGGTGCTAAGAGGCAATGGGAAGAGTGCTCCCTAGGATCATTCTATTAGAAATATGTTTGTTCTATCTGACAAATCAAAATAATTTTATTGTGTTGGTTTTAAGCAGTAGTTATGAATAGGTCGGAGAATGAAATCTAATTCTGTTTTTAAAGTGACAAACAATATTTTTAGAAACAATCATTGTTAGGTTTTGCTTAAATTAAAAATGTTCAACATTGTAGCTAGATCTGCCACCCAACAAACTAACCGAAATGATGCCTCTAAGTAATTTCCAGTTTACCTTTTTACCTTTCTACTCTAAAAGCCACTTCATAAAGACTGCATGGTTAAAGATTTACCTAAAATGACTAAGGCTTGAACGACATTTCACGACATTTCACGAGATTTCACGAAATTTCACGACATTTCACGACATTTCTCGACATTTCACGACATTTCACGAAATTTGTACGACAAAAAACGTTCTCCTTGATGCACGAGAAACATATATACCTTTGTATATTCAATATCTTTTATTGCAAAAACTTACTAAACACGTGCCTGAGAGTTAGGTTAAAGAACAAAAAATTAATCAAAAACTTACCATAGTTGTACCATCTCTAGCACCAGTTATCAATCTCTCTCCAAGACCATCTAATGCCATGCAAGACAATTCTTCACCATCATGAACTTCTTTTAAGTGTAGCATTCTTTTGCCAGTTTCTATGTCCCAAACAACTATTTCAGAACCTTCAGAACCAGTAATAACCTATTGAAAGTGGGAAGCAAGTTAATATCTTGTTCTTATGCCAACATGGATTGTGACAGAGATTTAGAAAATGTGAAAAACTGATGAATCATGAATTCTTATAATCCCAATACTATTCTGTGATAACATGGCTGCATAAGAAGAAAATTGCTTTTCGCAAATTTTATCGTATAATCCAGTGAAATCACATTAAAGAGTCATTATTCCTGTGGAATCTCAGAAAGTGTATTATTCTAAAGTCGTGGCAGACAAACATTCACATACCTGTTTGTACGCTGGGTTGTAAAGAGCAGAACAAAGTGGCCTAGCATGAGTCGCATTTTGCTGTTTGCTATACGGTGTGGCTCCAAGCTTGAGCTCAGCAAAACAATCACCAACAGAAATTAAAAGAGTGTTGAATGGTTTTGGCAATAGAAAGAATGGGTACGATCCATGTTCAAAATTCTTTGAATTAAATGGAAGACGAATAGAGATACTTTGGATACAGTAGTGCTCTTTGATATCCCACGATTTTAGACACTAGGAATGGGAGGAATAAATAAAATTTAGAGATCGACTACTTTTATCGCTTCTTGAATGCATTTCAAAATCGAGACGAGAGTGAGTGAAAACGAGGCAACTCAAATCATACATTATTGATTAGAGGTCATGATCATGATACTGCATATTGCATAAAACATGAATTGCTACAGTACATCGAAAAATTTGAAACATCGAAAACACCAGAAATACCCTGTGTTTATAACTCAGACACTTTAATACAGCTAAAACATAAGAAGCATACTAGGCCCTAACCTATCCTAAAGCCTTACGACGAATGACAGAGTTTCGTACCAATAGCTTCTCCTGTATCCATCCAACTGACTCTACTTGAACTACAACTTCTATATATGTGCGAATGGATTCTAAAATAAGTCTCAGTGATCTCTGTGCGTTTATGTGCTGACCCCCGGTCTTGAGAAAATTTAAGTGTACCGAAATAGAGAAAACGGTTTTTACAGTACTAAATATTGATCTTATACAGTAATAAATCAGTCATCTAAATCTTCTCCATTGATTCAACCATACATAGATTATCTCCAAGGAAGCATTCAGGTGATTTTTCTATGACGTCATAAGATTTTTATCTCTAGCTTACCCCCCCCCCCTCCGAAATCGATAGAAACCGGCACCCCTTCTGGAATTGTTCTCCATGCCCCTAGGTATCACCATGAAAAGTTTGGTGCTTTTTTCCAGTCTGTCATGATTTTCACCTGAAGCGACTGGACTAATAATTGCATCTCCAATCTGTTTGAGTTTATGATCAGGCATAGGTTTTTAAAGATTAAGGTTTTCTAGCTTTTTAACAATTTTGACATTAATAAAGTTTTTTAAACATTTTAAAAATTTGTGACAAAAAACAAACATATTGATTTTGCGTGTTGAAAGTTACATGATATTTACATGGATTAGAATCAATCTTTTAGTGAAATGCAACAACTTTAAAGGCAGTGTGTCCCACATTGTTCTCAGAATCTCTTTCATAGCCACGATATTCATGCATCGTTGATTCAATGCACAAATAAACAATCAGAATGAAGAACAACAATCGTGTAATTTCCCTGAGCATCACGAAGGGGACAGACTGACTGCCTTAAAGAGAAATAAAATTGCTGTGGATCGAATAACGGTAAGGCATTTACAGGACAGAATAGGCATGCAAGACTTAACAGTATAAAGAAAATGCTACTGAAAATTAAAAGACAGAAATTCATTAATATATTAGGACTTACGCCATCTTTTGAGTAGCTAAAAACCTGACTGAGTCCTGGGTGCACTGCAACGTCAATGACAGATGCTTGGTGTCCTTTGAGAATTGCAACAGGCTTAAAAGTTACGTAAGGGTCCCAAAGCCTAACCACGTGATCCACTCCACCCGTTGCTAAAATCGTCTTTTCCTTGCAGAAGTCGAAACAATCTATTCCCTGAAAAACAGAGTGTTTGATGATACAGTAAAATGCCCTTCTAAACGAAATTAGTATAGATAATATGAATATCTAAAATCTTAAAAAAGGTTTTCCTAGAAGAATTATATATTGAGAACAATCTCTAAAAAGAAACGAAGTGCCTGAAGACATGTATAATAAGTGGAGTCAATCAATTCTTTTTACAAATGTTATGAAATAATGTTTAGCGAAATTGAACGAGGCAGAAATTTAAACAAAAGCTCTCAGTTGGAAAATGATTGTGCTGAAACAACAGAACTCGATTTAAACTGTTTAAAAAATCTGCACTTTATGGAGCTAAGAGCGCGCACGGAAAGAATATAAAACCCGCAGTGGCAATCTGATACCCTTAAGAGAAGGAATTCTTAAACGGCCCCATTGATTTTATATATAAAAGTGGATCAATGTTGCTAACAATGAATTTGAAAACAATACTTTTTATAAATGGCTCTTTTGAAAAAGATTTGTTCCCTATACCTTTGTCACTTTAAAAATGTAAGTTTTTCGTTTCCGTTCGTCTAAACTCCTGAAAACCAAAGATTCTTTGCTGCTGCTCGAGCAAGAGATAAGCATGTCATTTTCTGGCAAGTACGTCACTCTTCTAATCCAATCAGAATGCACGTGCGGCAAAACAGAGTGTGATACCAGAGTGGCATGCTGGGATAAGTCCTAGAATGAAATATTTTAGCATTTTACTTCTGTTCTATTTGGTATTTTTCGCTTGATAGAAGAAGTACAATCCCTGCAAAAAGACTTGGAGCAATGACGTAAGTTTATAAAGGAAAAATTAAACCATCCTGTCTCTACCTGAAAACAATGTTAGTTTTGTACAAGAGATTAGGAGATTAGCAAGTACGTTTTTTGAATGATTTGTACGATATTTGCTTAGTAATTCTGTGCAGGAGGCATTGTGATATTCTCCTGATTTCTTTTGTTTTATAGAGATACTGAAAAGCGAAATAGGGTCAAACGTGCAGATACAGACCGGACATAGAGGTTTGAAAAGTTCAATTGAAGGTGTTAATTGGAACAGATAATCGGCAACAAATAATCAAACTAAATAAACAAAAAACGGTACAAAACGGTACGGTACATAAAAGAAACTAAATATCACAAAAACCCTCTTAAAAACAGATTTACTTCTCAGAAACCGAGAAATTTTTCCAAAAGATATTTATATACAACATAATACTACAAACAACTAATAAGGTGGTACTTTAAAAGGTGGTAGCAAACATGTCTAGGAGTAAAGGATCCTGGCTTGATACCTCTGAAGTCCATAGGCGTACCTGGGCTTTTCTATTAACGCGTTAATCAGTAAACGATAAGTTAAATATGAGGGGTGCCTGATATTTACAGTGATATCGCAACACAATTATTCTAAAGCATTACTCACTCGTTTAAAACAACAAATATTGCTCTTTAATGAAAATTTAGTGGGTCAATCTTACCGTAAAAAATATGCGCCAAACTGTATCAGTCTTTTTAAAAGGTTTCTCAAACAGTCCTTTCCTTGGCATGTGAAAAATCAAGATATTAATTTCTCCTCTGTCCGTGCCATATAATAGCATACTTTTTCCAGATAGATTCTGCAAATGAAATAGAACACTTCATTTTAGAAAGAAAGTTAATAGAGAGGTACTTTGATAAACAACCCTGGTTTAATTGCAATATGTTTTTGGCTTGAAACTCAACATTGATAGCAATAACAGCCTATATCCGCACACAGTTGGGGGGATCGGGGGACATCCGTGCAGAAAACGTCAGCAGAAAAGTCGATGATGCATCCAGTTGATATGGTAAAGACTTGACAAGGTTTTCTTCTCTTGATATGGCTTCAGCAGAATAATCATATACAATTACCTAACCATTGAAATGGATAAAGCAAGAAAAAAAACCCCTTACTTTTCGGCATTCTTACATTTCAATATTCTTCTCATAGTGGACGTTTATTTTTGTTGATAAAAATTTCATCCTAGCAAAATTCGAGTTAGTTACCTGAGGCCAGTTTTGATAAACTAGAAGTTGCTTTGTCATAAGCAAACTCCTTGACTTTGCACAGCTGACTCTACTATGGGATTACAAATCTAACTGATGTTTTCCTACGTTGTCAAATAAAGGGGACTAAAAATCTTCCAATGTTGTTAAGAAGCTCTATCCAAATTTTAGAATACCAAGGTTAAAGAGAGTAAATGCGAGGATGGCTCAGTTGTTAGAGGCGCTGACTACAGTCCATGGTTCGAGTTCCTGGCAAAACCAGACTTTCACCCAGAGTGAGAAAAGTCGCCAGCACTCTGTAATTCCGGGCGTAGGAATCATGAGGTGTGGTCACATCGAGAGGAAGGACCAGGACACTGCTCGATAAGCATAAGCTTCTCAGTATCCTAAAAATCGACTTCGGGTGCTAGGTAGAAACAACAACAAATAAAAATACAGTAAACTGCAAATGCTCACCCTTTTTTCATAATGATACTCTAAACACATTGGAACTTGTGGCAGTGCTACAAAGGAATAGGAAAATGGAACAAAAATTGCCTCAAAATAATAAATTTATGCAGTATTATCGTTTTTCAGAAACTCAAGATATAAAATCAGAATAAGCAAAGCTTGGGAAAATATGGACAACGAAGAATACACCATTTTAGCATAAATTTATTTTACTTCGTTAATCGTAAGGTGCTTTCTGCAAAAAACTTCAAGACAATGAATCGGATCTTGCAAAAAAGTCCAATTTTAAACGCTAAAACTGCTAATTATATTAACGTTGATTCTTACAAATTCTAAAAGTTCAAAAATATTCATAACAAAAGCTTCCACCAGGACAACACTTAGCCAATGATTTACATTCAAACACAAAACAGAATTCGAATCACTACCGAGAAATTTTCAAATCAAGGTGACCAATATACCAAGTGTCAAAGAATAATGTTAGGCATACCACATAAATGAAACAATGCTTTATACGTTGGAGTAGACATGTCAAAGAAACTGATATCTCTGTTTGTTGATGCAACAGCCAGCTTGTTTACGTTTGGCATGCAGATGGCATCAGTTACCCAAAGCTTTGTTCTCCTCCTTGCGTAGATAGTTTCATCTTCGATTGTAGAGCTGATGTCTATGCATCGCATCAACTCAAAATTCATGCTCCAAATGCCGATGATACCTTCCTTGCTGATGGTGACAAACCTCGTAGGATTGTAATCTAGCATCACTTTTGAAATCGTTTCCTAGAAATAAAAACAATAAGCGTAATATCTAGCTGTTGTTTACACTACAAAAAACTGGCAGTTTCATAACTCGAAATGAAAATTGCACTGGGACTATAAAATGAATTCCTTTCTGTCGAAAGGAATCCTACAATAAAGTATTCAGATTATAATTACAAACACATTTACGTAAATAGTTGCATAAAAGTTATCAACGTTTGGGTAACAGATGGTCATATTTATTTGTCAGTCAACGTTTGATAGTTTATACTTATATTGATTATTAAAAAACAAAATATTATGACACGAATGAATTCTATACTTTTTTATAACTAACTTGGTTTTTATTAATCTCATGAGTCAAAAATGATACTTTTGGCAGTTTCCAAGAGTTTAGGCAAATTATAAAACAATTGTTTAAAAGAGTTTTGATTTAATAAATCCCTACTATACGGTCGAGAGTAACTTTTCTGAAGAAGTTTCACATAAAACAGGTATATCTTTTAATGCTACATAATCTTTTCAGAAGAAACTTGTTTAAATCGTCAAGATGTTCATCTACAGTCTACGGTGCATAATAGTTTGCGACTGTGCAGCGAATTCGTAATATCAACGTCAAATCTTTACCTTGATATTGGGGAACTTGATAACTCTTGGTTTAGCAATGAATGGAATCTCTCTTGACGAACTAGAAAGATCTTGCTCCTGATAACGCATGATGATGTAAGTACAGAAATTGTCCCAGTTTATGAGTCCTTCGTGACTTCTATCAATCTGCAAGAAAACGATCCGCGTTTCACGCATATAGGCTTTATTCGGCAGCTCACTTCATGTTTAAAAGTTTTGCTGGTCAATTAAAAAGCAAAATGAAATTCTGTATTGAATGCAGCGGGATAATTAGTTACGATCTTCACAGTAAGCGAGCTATTTCCTTTTTTACGTATAAAACAACTGAAATCATATATTCTCCTCTTCTCTTTCAATTTATCGATTTCCCATTAGATAAGTTAGCTTACAGATAGATAAGCTGAAAGAATGTTTGTAGCAAAACATCACAAAGATTTATGATGGACAACACGAAGACCTACAGCAACATACGGAATTATAAACGTTCCAAATTCAAAACATTTTGCAGAAAAAGCAGTGCTGGAAGTGATATCTTACTTTGCGGAAGAGAAGTTCTGCTTGCTCACTAAGTGATGAAATAGCCCTAATTTCCCATGCTGGTATGCCCAAAAGCTCTGCCAGCGTAACTTTAAACTGTTCTAAATCCATCATACCAAAGGTCTTCTTCTGGCGAGCACGTGATCTAGACGCATCTCTTGATAACACATGTCCCTGCAAAGCATATTAGTCATAAGTTGGTTTATCAATAACTATGAGCACATCGTTATGATAGGTGCATACAGCTTGCTGTCCAAAAGTCATGTTTTTACCACCCTATCATGATAAAATGCCCTATTATGAAAGATTGACAGAAAAAGAGACAGGGGAAGACAAATAAGAACACGGGGAGACTATATCAAGGAATGGAGCGGGTGTGAGAGCATTGGGAGAGCTAAACGATATTCTGAGGATAGTGATAGTTGGAGGGTCATGGTAGCCAACCTTCTGATAGAAGATGGTACCTGATGATGATGATTATGATTTTAAAACGTCCTTCTTCAAAGCATCATTTCATCCTCTCTTTGATTATAATAGAGATTGTTGTGAATTTAGAAAAATGATAAAATAACGCTATATCATACTTTTTGAGGAAATTTTCCTTTGCCAAAATAATTCAAAGTTGTTGCAAAAAAGTAGTTTTAAGAAATTTATTTGAAAATATATAATTAAACTTTTTAGAAAAACATAATAGAAAGTTGTGTTGAGGGCACTAGCCTGTCTCATCTCAACAAATCCTCTTACACTGCAATGAAAAAACTGGCAATCAGTGGCCAAACCAGTTCTTTGGCTATAAAATGTTTATAAAGCCCATAATGCCAAAGTATAGCTAGTGACCAGGCTTTGTCGAAAGGGGTTGCTTGCTTGGCAAAAAATGGGCTTGGCACCTTGAAAGGTGCCATTGCTATTGTATTGTTACATGAATTATTCAGAGACAGAGTTGGACCTTCATAAATAATGCCTCCAAAATGGATTTCATGCCTAAAATTTTTTCAAAAATTAAACATAGACTGATAAAATTTTATCAACTTATATTATCAACCTGATCTACAGGTTCTTCACATATGGCCTTCTTTTACAGCTGGTACACCCCTTAAAACCCCACTCATGGTCCTACTACAAACAGGGGGCTCTTATGCAAACAAAGATCTTCTTAAAATTTGATTCAATGTGATATATTTTATGCTTTGAATCGAAGTAGGTATATTTCAAAGGATACCAAGACCTCTTGACAATCCTGGGAATACAAACATATGAATGGGAAAATAAAATCATAATATTCTAATGTCTTACTGTATTGGTAGCTTGCTCTTCATCAAAATGTAATTCAAATCTTGTCATCAGCTTGTTCAAATGGCTTATATCCATCTTCTCCTCAAGTTGAGAGAACTCATACTCAGAAGTGTGCAAACTGCGAAATTGAATAAGTTTGAGGTTACACTTTGGTGCATACAACTAGGCGGTTATAAATTTGAAATCAGGCAGAAGACATTCTGTTTATTCAAGAACAAAAACTTTTGCAATCAAAGGAAAATTCTAAACTTAGCATAATGAACCTTTTACTCAAAGTAAATAATCATTGTAAAACAGAGAAATTTGATCAAAACGTCAAACACATAGCCAAAAACAGGAAATCATTCAAATATTGTATTCTTTCTCTCAAGCTACTTTCAATCTGCAGGTGGATATTATTTTAACTTTTGGTCACAGACATAAAGGCATACAAGAAAAGACTTTGAAAGTTTAAAGAGGAAAAGGAGCTTGCAATCTTACATTTCTACTAAAATTGTTTTTTTCCAAGCACAAACAAAGCCAAAGACAGGCATAAAGATAGAGATAAAACTGGATCTTTCAAAAGAAACCTATATTATTTTTTTAAAAAGAAAACTATGTTTCACAATCCATACTTATGATCAGGTTCACCCTATGTACAATACTTGTAGAAAAATATGCATACGATTCCTACCCCATGATATTCACTGACTGACCAATCACAGATGGGTTTGAAGATCCTTTGTCCTGTGAAGAACAAATCTGAGCAATTTCATGGTGTGAAAAAGGCTTGGTTGGTTATTTTCATTTCAGTGCATTTTCTGTCTGCTAAATAAGATTGTTAAACCAAAGAATTCTAGTCACGTCATAAACTAAAATTGTAATTCAGACTTTTCAAAAGAATAAATAATATTTACCATATCTGTTTCTTAATCTTTCAAGCATTAAGTGAAAAGGCAGCATTCAAGTTTTTGCTCAGAACATAATTAGGAAGAAAATCAAATATTATGCATTGTACAGCATTCCTTTCCGTCAACAGTTTGAAAATCTCAAGTTTCAAGATCAAATAGCAAAGTTTAATCAGAACAATTGTAGGCAGGGGAATAGTGGTAGGAGGCTCAGGGCTGAGGTCTTTTGTTAAAGCCAAAAGCAGCCAATTTTTTGGCTAATGTTTTGGCTACATTTTGTGCAAGAGTCTCCCTTGCTATTTTGATAGCAAATATATATTTTACTTACAAGTGTTAGTTTGGACTTCTGTTTTAGTTTGAACGTAACTTTTAATAGATACCCTACCCTACATGTTCTGTGCAATGATCTCTAGTCAGAGAAACGGGGTGTGCTTTATTTCAGGTTGCGACTGAGAGAAAGTGGGCTTGATATGTGAGAAAAATCGATTTCGAGTGAACTAGTTTGAAGAGACCTTTATAGATATTAAATGTTTAAAATTGTTTTCTCTCTAACATTTTTAGATTTATGCAAAAAATTGTTGTGAAAAGAAATCACGTTTTACACTTAAAAACATACCTTTCTATTTCTGGTAACCCCTAAGTGAACCTTCAGCGCTGGTCCAAGGATTCTTACGAGGTGCTTGAAGCTCCTATTCGATTTTCCAGAGCTAACCCTTGGCTGCTGGGACATTCTTGATACCGGGTTGTTACTTTCTATGTTTGAAGATGCTTCCTTTTCTGGACTATCCATTAGGATATGTAGATATTCCTATATAAGCGCATTTAATTCTCCAAATTTTATTTCTAAGTATGAATAATTTCAGTATAATCACGCGAATACAAATGGATTCGTTCTAATCCGCAGCAGGATTAAATGAAACATCCACAAACTTTCGTAGATAGGGTGTCCACGATGACTGATAACCTGCTTCCGCAGTCATTTTATCTGATAATATTTGCTATCAAATGCTCATTTTGAAACCAATTAACATTTGCTTCACAGGCAAATGTGAACAAAGATCAAATCTCTCTCAAGATCAACAATTTATTACTCCTTGCTCATTTTGGTTTTGCAAGCGACCTCGATCTCGCGTTGAGGACGGCAAATAAACAAGAGCATGTAACGTAGCAACTCATTCTCCATGTACGTAAATGGAGATCTATGGTCTACAGTAGAAACCCGTATAAAAGAACCAAGGTTTTTTTCTGGCAGCTTGAATAGGTTCTTAATTAACAGGCTGCTATTCTAAATTCCATTCTAAAAGTTTCTTAACAAGGTTCTTATATACGTACAGGCCTTGCACACGTTAACAGTGTTTTCCATCAAAAGGATTCTAACAGAAACACTTAAACCAGCCATTTTTTTCATGTTAAATTTCAAGCCAATCAAATGAATTTGAGCTGTTAGATTGTCCAATTAGAATGTAAAATACCATAAACTGATTTACTCTAAGCTGGTTTAATTTGCCAGGGTCAATAGAGTGCAAAAATACCTTTTCAAAAATACATATAAGAACCTTTCCAAATTACAGCCTCTTGGGGGTTCTTAATTATGAGGTTTAAAAGATTAAATTTCAGCCTCAAGGTTCTTATAAAAACAGGTTCTTTTATGCGGGTTTCTACTAAATGTACATTGTACAAACTAAACTGTAATGATTGAAATCTGAAATCTTCGTGGGAAATCTGAAAAAGCTACACTTATCAAGAAAGGAAAAACAGTTTGCAAGATACAGCAAATGCACGTATGTTAAGAGGTTATATCGCTATCGGAAGAACTCCCCGAAGTTTCTTTTACGATAATGAAACACAAAGCAAATTTCTGTCACTTTCAGTTGATATCAAAAATCGATAGCAAGATAAAAGAAGATTGCAAAAAACAGCTCACTAGGCCTAGTTCCGCTCTTTAAAAAGCTAAAGGTCATTCCTTAATGTGAGAAGCAGCGAAATGACTTTCACACGAGGGACATGTGGGGGGGGGGCCAAATTGTCGTGCTTCCAGCTAAAGATAGACACTCGCATTATTGCCATTAAGACAGAAAAATAGAAGTCTTATTTTATCTTGTGGCGATTAACTTAGAAAATGATCCAATACTCGTCAAGAATAGGACACACTTAAGGCCGCATCTCCAAAATATATTTACACCCCCCAATAGTATCTCACTAGGAAATTTCAGGTAAAATCCGCTCGGTGGAAGAAACGCTTTAGGTATTTCAGAGACCTTCATGTCATAAAATCAATAAAGGATCAAGCAAAGGTAATTACTCCGTTGGTTAAATATGATATTCCTTGATATGAATGAAGGTAAACAAACTAATGATTTGAAGATTGCTTGTTGGCAATAAATCTAAAAATCCAGGCCCTCTTTAGGTAAATTTGTGCCTTGCGTCCATTTCTCCTAAAGTTTATCAGTAGAAGCGTCAACTGCAATTCACTATGAGCTCCAGATTTTTCTTAACATTCAAAAGGCACGCTAAGATGGAAAGAGGGATCTAAATTTATAAGAAACTGACAACCTGGTATTTTTCAAGACCACGGCGAAATTTTTTGCAAAAAAATAATAATTTTCAATAGGATTAGGAGGAATGCTTTAGTGAAATTTGATTAAAAGAGTGCATTTTCCAGGGAACTAGAAGCATCAAAATTCGAAAACTTCCTTCTCCTTCGGCGGCAATCATGTAACTTTATATTTTGCCTGTCCCAATATATAGATTTGACAAGACTTTTAGGAAAGTCTGTTATTATCATACAGAGTTAGATTGACAAAATGTATTGCAGAGGTTTGTGATAGCAAATAAAAAATTCCAGGCAATAATTTTTTAATCGGGTAAATTTGTGGTTCACACCCCCCCCCTCCCTTCCCAATGAGGCTTGCCTCGCGACGGCCTTGCCTGCATTTGACGACTCCGGGCTCAATTCTTTACGGGCTGTTAGACATGGTTCTCAGACCAAGTAAAATTAAACAGGCAGCTTGAAATCTGGATGGAACTTTCTAGATTGATTATTCACTTAGATGAATTACATTGCGATGAAAATGCGGATGATCTGACAATAAAATAAGATATATTATCACAATAATATAACTACCTACTACAGCCAATAATAAGTAAATTGTTGCACCGAAAGAGCCTAAATGAAATTTCATTGTAAATTGAAAAGAAACAAGGGCGAACAAAGAGAACTATGGACAAATCTGAAACAAACGATTTTAATGAGCCAAAGTGAGAAAATTTAACGTGAATATGAAATTTTAGATAATATTGACCCTTTACTTTATCTTTGAAGTCTGTTTTAAGTGATAATAATTCGAGTTGAACGAAGGGTATTGAAATCATTGAGAAGGCTCAAAATGCAATTTTACCAAGATAACACGGATAAAGGTGAAATACACCGTTAAATTATTTCAAGTACACGAGATTTAAATAACACATTCTAAAACAACTGGTTTTCAAGATCAACATAACAAAAAGTCACCCAAGAATTCATCCTTTAAAACTGACAAGTAGCTTCAACAGTCAAATGGCAAAAATCCCAATCAATATAAAGTTCTGTCATACTTTAGTTAACATGGGAAAATTTACACATTTTTGTCGTTCAAGTTTACCCTGGCATTGTCAGAAATGATGAAAATGCTGATAATAAGGTATCCATCAAGGTAAAATATTTGTCTAATTCAACTGAAGGTATGCCGTTTAGTCGAAGTAGAAACTGAGGTTGGCCTCGCTTTGATCTTTCATTACACTGTAGCAAATCTCTTAGCTTGCTGTCGCACTCGCTTTTCGTATTCTTGTCTGTTTTGGCTAAAAGAAAGAAATAAGAGTCTGGCTAATGGACAATTCTTTTAAATAGAAACATGTGCGATTCAAGTTCTTAAGTGTTTTCTTAACTGCTATACGCCTGGCTTTAGCTAATAAAGGTTAAGAAAAAGGTTCTAGATAAAAACCAGTCAGGAGTACATGTTTCAATTCTCGTTAAGACTAAATATTACATACAATTAACTCAGATTATAGATTTGACTGCCAGAGAACAGAAAAGCAGTAGCAGGTTACAGTAGCAGAGCCATTCTCATAATACCGTATTTTCAACAAAAAATACTGTCATTGTTTTGTTTTGTTTTGTTTTGTTTTGTTTTGTTTTGTTTTGTTTTGTTTTGTTTTGTTTTGTTTTCCTTTTGCGCAAAAAATCAACACATTTTGCTTTGATAAAAGAATAACCGTTCTTTGTTTACAACTTTTCGCTTCATCAATTGTCTAACGCTGGCTATGGCTTCATCTGGTCTAACGCTTCCTAAATGCATAGCTTTATCAAGATTAATATACTTACCAGAAAATGGAGTATGCTTCTGCCTGCGCTGGATCCCGGATGTTTGGGTCGTTTAGCAAGTCCTGGATTCCAAGTAAAATTTGCTTTATAGTGACAGCAGGCCTCCAGTCTTTGTCTTCGTCTAACAGCGACAAGCATACCGTTCCGGATGGATAAATATTTGGGTGAAATAACGGAGGGTCAAATTTACCTAAAGATAAAAAAATTCTTGAACAACTTTGATTTTATAATAAAAGAGGAAATTACTTCTAATTTCTCGTGTTGCAGCTGTTTCAAATAATATGAGTCTGGTATTCGGTGAAGTTGACAGCGAAATTACACTCATATTCGCATTAAATATATACAGTTCAAGGAAAATATTTTCTTTCTCTTCGAAATGCCTTCTATTGACTATAACTTTGACAAATAAGACCAGGTTGTTTTTGTTGAATTTAGCTCATCCTTGTAAAGGAATTATTTATAATACTTCACTAGAAAATGTCAACGTTAATTTGCCAAAATAATAACATTGCAGCAGTCTCTCTTGTTAGTTGAGCAGTTCTTATTTTATTCAAAATACTACAAACTAAACGATCACTGGCAAACGAGGGAAAATTCTCTATTTTAAAAATTTCACGTAGTTTGAAAATGGCCAGCCTTGGCAATCTACAAAAAGTTTATTGCACTCTGGTATTAACTGCATAAAAATGCTATAAAACGTGAAGGGGGCTCTGCTATAGCCATGAAGGGGTCCTGCTTTGTTTCTTAAAGGTTTTTTGATTGATAAAAGAAAAACCAGAGAACTGGCTATTAAGTCCTGAATTGGCACTAGCCGACAGCCATTCCCTTAATGGCTACGTGATATCTTAAGTATTCTGGTACAGAAAAGGCAAATTGAATGCAGAGTCTTAGATAAATCTGTGCTAGCAGACACTGACGGCTGAATAATCAAGGAAGACATACATTTTGGTGGTGTTGATGGATAATCGTCTTTGAAGGTTATCTTTAATTTGTATGTTGCACCTTCCCAAGGGGTCTAAAATAGCAAAGGAGAAAATTAAAATAAAACTTCTTAATTGATCTTTAAAGAATTCAGCATTATTACCTTATAATTCAATTACAGTTTGCTCAAAGGTCTGTTGTTTTCATATAGAAGATGCCCTACTACGGTTAAAAACAATCTGTACTGAGAGTCAGCAGAATTTTCAGAGTTAGCTAAATACAGCACTGGATAATCTGCTATGGCAGAAATTGAGCCCTAGCTTATCTTTTAGTCTATTGGAAAGAATTACATCTTAATACCTTAAATTGCAACTATGATCTATACCAGCATGAATAGGCAACTTGATTTGAGCTTTCACTCTGGTTATGAAGTACAAAAGAGCAGAAGAGGAAAAACTGTAAAAACCTAACAGTCAATATGACCTAAATATGGTTAAGACTGCCAAACTCCAGTCTTCTTTGTGGCTAGCCATTATTTGAGCTATCAAGATAGATTGATAGATAATGTAACAGTGATGCAACTTCCATTAAATTAATGGTCACCAGAACAAAATTCTACAGGATTGTGAGATCATCAGGAAACATGCTACTTTCTATTAAGAAATTAGTTCTCACAGAATCTTTGATAAAAAAGGAATGTTGCAGTTTTTTATCTGCTAGATTTTAAAGAATCTTACCAGAGCAGCAAAAATTGACAAAGAACATTCAAAAAAAGTATTACTATGTTGGAACATTTATGCAATATTCTCCTCCAATCACTAGGGATAGTATATCCCCTTTCCATCACTCTTTAGGTTGACACACAACCATTACAAAAATGTTTTATCGGAATACCTGTAGGTTGTTGTTTTTAGGAATGCCAAAAGTTGGATTTGAGATACTTCTGCATATTAAAACCAGAAAAACTATTAGGCAAAAGCATACTCACTCCTTTTTTCCCTGGTATTGCTGAAATACAAAAAGATTAATTGTTAATGGTTAGCAGATCTTTTAAAAAATAATTATCAATCAAAGACACAGAACTAAATAAAGATAGACAGTGTCCTTCATAGAAAACAACAGACTTGCTGGAACAGTTAATAACTGATTATCAGAACAGCCTTTCAAAAGATTAATTGTAATCTTAATTTAACTATATGTCATGATACATTGCTTGTCCTTGCTATCTTGTAATGTAGCATATATATGGTAGTTTTTGTTAGGTGATAGTTTTAGATAATTTGTTTGTAAATTTTCAAACTGAATAAAAAAGATAATAGAGTAAAACTTTGACCTTGGCTTCCAAAACTGGGCTTAAAACTTTAATCATAAGCTCCTAGTTGCTTGAATGGGAGGAGGGTTAGAAATTCTGTCAAACAACCTGATTTGCTAGAACAGTTCTCTTAACTGGCTAAAGTAATCTTAACCGGCAAATGCAAAAAGAAATCATACAGCACTCCCATTGCATCATGTTCAATGTTCCATCTTCATTCTTGGCTGGCTTTGCAACAAACCCCTACAAAATCATTCAACATATTACAATATCAGACTTAAAAACACGATGTTTTATAAGGCATGGCAAATATCTTTCATGCTTCTTAACTTATATCAATCATAAATAATTGTAAACTATTATTAACTTCGAATTTGCATCACTATCAACATTATAATTGTTTCAAAATCTGCATAGTGTTGGAAAATTTGTTAAATATGTCTACATGTCCCAAATGATTAAAAAGTCTGAGAAACCATAATTTTAAAATGTTGCGTTCTCTTGTTGGTGTGCAAATCTTACAGCATTGAACTTTTGTAGCATAAACAGGATAAAGAAGTGCCAGCTGCTGGATATCAGATACACAGATGGATATCTAAAATACATTATTTTTATCTTTGTTTTCTAAATATAAAGTAACCACAATACAGACATATTTTATTGGTATTGGATAGATACTGATATTCAATGGCACATTTTGACTGCTTTAGATACTTGGTGTTGTAAACGAAATGTACACGGAAATTATAAATTGAAAAACTCACACTATCCTTCAAGAATTCATTTTTGACAACAACAATTAAACATATAGATGGTGTTATTTTGAAGATTCAGAGAAATGTGGTTTGCGACCCCAGTCCATCATAAGCAGCAACAAGGTGACAATGTGATCTTATAGAACTTCAAGTATTAGCAAAAAAACACCTCAAACTTGGAAATTATCAGGAAAAACTATATGTTTTCAGAAGAAGCAAATAATTTCAACAATCAATCACACTTGGCAAATATTGCTGCCAATTAATTTTTTGTTGTGCACAATGTGAAATTCTTGCACAAAAAGGCTGGTGATTCAAAATCTGCCAAAACAGTGTATGCAGAAAAGGGGATGTTTAAAGAGACCAAATACTCAATTGCTCTCGTGACTTCCTTTGTTTCTCAATTTTGAACTCTGGATGCATATAAACTACTGTGTAGGGTCTGGCTTGTTTGATGCTTTGTGATCTAAAGAGGCAATAATGTTCTGTTTGCTGCATTTTCATTTTGATATAGGTTTTGAAAACATGTTCTCCATTCAGTCTGTTTCATGTTGGAAACTTTGCAACTAATGTTATCCTGATCCCTGAAACAATGCCAAACTACTTTACTTTTAATTTTGAAAAACAAATTTTTACAGTCATTGGTGTTTACAGTATATGTTAATGTTTTCATTAGACAATCTGTTTTGATTCTAAACTCTCCTCAAAGGTCTTTCAAACAAACCTCTTGTCATAATCAAGTAACATAAACAGACATTCATCAAAAATACAACTGAATACTCAGTTTATGTTCTATGTTTATGTTCAGACAGACTGTTCTTAATTTTTTATAAAATCTGAGGCTGGATTGTTCTTTAATTGTTCTCAAATTAATAAGGTGTAAGCAGTGGGATTGCTAGCTTCTTTACTCTAGGGAGGTGTTGAGGCCTAATATCAGTCCTCTCCGTTTAAGGCGTGCGATCATGCAAGCGCGCCTTGGCACGCTCCTATCGTTGCCGAGACGCGGAATAAATCACGCGCCTGGTTTATAAGAACCCTTTAAATCGCGCTCCTTGTGTTTTAGTTTTGAACAATTATTATACAAAGAGCCTTGCGGATTCGAAATCGATTGATATCTAAATAAACGGTTGCTTCTTTTAATCCCTTTTTCGAGGAAATTGTTATTGCCAAGTTAAATCAAACACCTCTTGAATATATTTCCGGTCAATAACCAATAAACTGTCATTGTGATTCCTGATTGTTATAAGTTTTTTAAATGGCCATTAATTCAAAGGACCAAGCCATAGAGCTATCTGCTTTCGCAAGTATCGCAAGGACGAAGTTAGCGGATCAAAGACCGAAGATAGGAATGGTAAGACAATGGTGGTTTCGATTTGGTGTAAAGTTTGCTCAAAACACAAAAGCGTTATATTATCAAATCCTCTTTGTAAAGGAAGTGCCAGGAAAGCAATTGAATCATACGTCAATGGAACGAATTTCGATTCTTCCACTTTTTCTGACTCCGATTCTTCATCGGAATTTGAGCTGGACATTGACGAACTGCAACAATAATGTGTTTTTTTTTGCTTTTAGTGCTCTATTAAGTAGTTTGTTTAGATATTTCTAGATACAAAGTATTACATGCGAAAACATGCCGTTTTTGTCTACTTTAACGTAAATATTTTTTTTTGGTAGAATGCGCGCCTTAGCAAGGCGAGGCACGCGTTTGAGCACGCACCCACTAAAATGCTCACGGAGAGGCCTGTAATATGCCAACAAAGTGAGTGAGACAAACTTCATTTGCCACCAGGATTGAATGTTCAATGAAAAGCACACAAACATAGCTAAAACTCTTCATTTATGTGATAAAACATTTTTCAAAATTGCATTTTACATTATCTCAACCTTAGCTTGTTCTTAATTTACTCTTGACTTTTGACCAATTTTGAGGTGCTCTTAAAATTTTTCTTATAAAAAAGAGTATTATTGTATTGAAAAAAACATGTTGCTAGTTTAATTTCATATGTTTTATCAATACAGAGGGAACCTAGTGTTACAAACAATTTCAATTAAAAATAAGTTTGTTTATCAGAAACTACATAACATAAATAAATGTGTTTGAACAACCTTTTATTCAAAGATGACTGTTGTAATTATAACATGGTTCTATATACATTCTCTCAAAAAATAGCAGATCAGGGCTGACACTGCCATGCCAGACTGAAAGTTTGTTGCACGCAGGCAATATATTGATGTGCACACATCTGTATTTGCTGCACAAAATTCCTGATGTAATAACATTTACCATATTATTTAATCTAAAAATAGCTAAGCATGTATTATTTCGGGCATTCAGTCCCAATTTTTCAAAGTGAACTTATCCATGCAAGAAACAAGTTTCCAGCCAGGCTGCAATGTTTCAATCAATACATTTACTTTGTAAACCTCAACAGCATACGTTTGGAGCTTCTTTCCTTCAGCAGCTATTACAAATTATCTATTACCCAACAGAATGAGTTTAACAACTTTTGAAGACACTATTGACCTGTTTTACACATTCAAAATAATTGTGGTAATAGATAATCAAGTTGACTAAATGTTGACCTGTCTTTATTTGGTTCCTTGGGCATGCATGAAAAAAATTTCTGCTCTTAACTTTTTGGCTGCTTATAATATCAAGTTGCCACCAAATCATCCTTATGCTATATCTGAGAATAAACTTGCTGAGCCTAATGTTCAAATCCTAAAAGATTCCAATATAATGAGTCGAGTGTGTTTCATAAGACAGAACTTTATTATTGTGACAAAAACAACTCCAGGAGATAAAGAGCTAAAGGTTTAGGACCCCCTTAAAATTTATCAACAATAATTGAAGAATTGAAATATGTTTTGCTGAACTCAAACGAATGGGACACGCTGTCAGGAAACTGCATGAGAGGCACCCTCCAGGCCTTGCTTTGGCTAGGCCAAGCACAAAAACAATTAGGTACGTTGTAAGAATGGAAAAAGGTTATGATTTGTTGAAAATAAAAACATACAAACGGATGATCTTTCCTCCAGGCCTTTCTTTCCTCTGACAGCCTTCCCAATGCTATACTAGACATGGTGTCAAAAGCGCTTCTTGCCGGAAATTTTTTATAACAATCTTTGGCAATTTTAGCCGCTGAAATTGTCAAAGTCTTGCAAGGCAACGCGCATGATCGAATGTTGTCCCAGCCTCATTTTCGAATGATTGGCTAAAAGTCAATGATATAGAAGCGCCGAAGGCGCTAGATGTCTAACTCACAGGTCCGCTATGAGGCAGATTTGTTTATTTCCGCCATTTTGAATAGTGGCAAAAAGGAACTTGCTCCATACCGAGCCCCTATAAATTTGGTAAAAGTAAGGATTGATTTCGTTCACTTTTCTTTCGAATATCGATGTGAAATTTGGTGACTGGCTTATATTGCACTTAAATTTATGAACTGATGTTAATATTGGAAAAATAAGCCGTCGTTCGCAAATTCCAAGCATTTACTGTCGCGGTGCTTGCTGTGGTGTTTTCTGTCTCGTCGAAATTCCAGAAAATAATGATTGATCTGTTTTAAAACGGATCCAGCAACAATGTTTAGCCACTCAATGCATAAATTTCTTAACACATTTGTACAAATATGTGATTTAGTTACTTTTTCTTTGTTTGTTTACAGAAACTGCTATGAAATGTCTAGGCAAAACTCTAGAAAACGCCGAAAATAGGTCATAATTGAATGCTTGGATATTAATAACAGAATCTAAATATGGTAACCAATTTTTGATTTTATATAATCATTGATATTTTTAAACTATTTCAAAACCACACTAAGGGGCGGTCTGGCGTCAAAATCGCAGGGTGGCTAGAAAACTCAAGGGCCCTGTTTAGAGCGTGGCGGGAAAAATTGAGCAACACCCACTAAAAATGTGGCTTAGAATACGATTGATTCAATAAAAATTGATAATAAAGCAATACGCTAAACAGCAGCAGTATATCGACTTTAATTCGTAAATTTGGACCCAATTGGATCCATACCTTTCCTCTCGTGTAAACAGGCTTTAAAATTCCATGTAGAGTTAAGAATCAAGATAAAAACTTATTCAAATTCTCGGAGTTTTAACTCTTTTCAAAGAAGTGCAAATGAATCAGCAAATTGGCCAATGACTTGCTCGTAATCAAGTGAAAAGTTTTCTCTTCTTTTGAAATTATCAGTAGCGCTGAATAATCCTTCAAAGGAAACTTGGGTGCGGCTAAGTGTCATCAAGCATTTATACGCGTTGTAGAGGGAAGGGTATGCTGCTAGGTGCGTGTTGTATCTCCCCCGTATGTCTATGTGCTGAGTGCCCCCCCCCCGGGGGCTAATTCCTCGTAATTGTATAATTTATTGAATGGTTTTCCTAACAAAGACTTATGACCAGCGCAAATTCGTTTCTTCACTTATGACTAATACGAATTATTTCAAATGCCTGATATCGAATAGCTGAAAGGGTTCTCACTTTTGAAGCATTAACTGAGTACAATCCCATGTTCTTTCCATTCAGAATGGTTGTATCTGGATAAGATTATCGATGCGTTGGCAGTTGGGTATGGGAACGTTCATATATTACCTAATCAAAGATGGAGGGAGGGGGCTCAACACAAATGTTTACGGTCATAATGATCAATAAATGATGCAAATTAGATGATAATTTAGGGGAAAGAGGATTTTTCCAATGTTGCCCATATTTTGTTATGTAATTTGGGGATGTTAATGCTCTTCCCATTCTTGAATGATAATGCTCTTCCAGGGCCTATTTAAGTGTGCAGTATTACAAACTTTGTTCAGTATTAATTTTAAAACGTACAGTATTGATTTCGAAAATGTGCAGTATTGAATTTTGGGAATTGTGAAAATGTCTTTTTGCGGCTATCCCAGATTCCTGCTTTGTTCACAAAATGTGAATTTTCTTTGTAACTTCGATATAGAGTTCATGTATTTGTAATTCTCGTATAACCATCGGAAAGACTCTCTTATCAAAACTTAAAACAAAGCGAAATGCCCAAAACCAAAACCAAAACATCTCCTGTAAATGTCACCATTGCTGTAAATTTCGTAATTTGATCTTGTCGAAGATAAAACATTCAGTAATAATTCATCAGTTGCCCTATCATGCTCTGGGCATCTAGCAGAAGCTCACTTAACTTAGCTAAAATAAAGATAAAGAGCCTAATAAAACTTTTTAGTTAATAGATCACCTTTCTTCAAACAAACCCAACAACCTCTGTAATGTATCGGTCGTAAAAATCGGTATTACAGACCACTATATGACATACGGTATTAGAACATTAAACGCTAGAGTTCATGTTAATGACGTGAAATTCACAACAGAGTCACGCAGTTTGAAAAATTATGACCGTGACTCTTACTTGCGTAGTATTGACTGGGAGATGGCTATGTCATGTAGATAGGATGACCCTAATAGGATGGCTAGCAATTTCTACGACCTCTTTCTCGCTGTCTTGGATGTGCATGGGCCGCTAAGACGGGGCATGCACATGTACCATGGATTTCTCCAAGCATCAAGAATTTGATGTGCGAGAGAGACCGTATTAAGAGACGGGCTGAGAGATATCCAGCACTATGGCCAAGATATAAGCAGCTTCGAAACCAGGAGCGGTCTGGCGTCAAAATCGCAGGGTGGCTAGAAAACTCAAGGGCCCTTTTTAGAGCGTGGCGGGAAAAATTGAGCCACACCCACTAAAAATGTGGCTTAGAATACGATTGATTCAATAAAAATTGATAATAAAGCAAAACAGCAGCAGTATATCGACTTTAATTCGAAAATACGGACCCAATTGGATCCATACCTTTCCTCTCGTGTAAACAGGCTTTAAAACCCCTTGTAGAGTTAAGAATCAAGATCAAAACTTATTTAAATTCTCAGAGTTTCAACTCTTTTCGAAGAAGTGCAAATGAATCAGCAAATTGGCCAATGACTTGCTCGCAATCAAGTGGAAAGTTTTCTCTTCTTTTGAAATTATCAGTAGCGCTGAATAATCTTTCAAAGGAAACTTTGGTGCAGCTAAGTGTCATCAAGCATTTATACGCGTTGTAGAGGGAAGGGTATGCTGCTAGGTGCATGTTGTATTCTCTAATTTTTTTTAAAAAAACCACTAAATTTAGGTTCAAGCTGACTGTTCTTAATTTTTGCAAAAATCCGAGGGTGGATTGTCCTTAATTTGTTCTTAAATTAATAGGGTGTTAGCAGTGCGATTACTAGCTTTTTCGCTCTTGGGAGGTTTGAAATCTTGAAAAAGGCTCGTATTGCTCTTTTGCTTCCTCTTTGTGTCAACAAATCTTCTTAGCATTGTTAAATCCTGATACAGGTCTCTGTAACCAGATGATAGTGACGACCCCTTGTCATCTCTCTTCTGAATTTCCTGTTTTGTATTTTACGTTATTTTCATTTACTGAAGCCCCCTCCCAATAATTGCAGCCTAAGCCCTATGTCCTGTATAACAGTGTACTAAGTGGAAATAAATACAATGAGCAATTTCTCCAACGCGGGAAGGCCCGTAAATTTTTTTTACACAGGGCCCGGGTGGCGATCGCCACTTTGCCACCCGGGCCAGACCGCCTCTGACCACACTCGTTGCTTGTAATTATTCTTCAGCACAATGCGTCCCTCCCCGTATCTTTAGGCCTATAAAATACCTTCGGGGTACACTTTCACGACAAAGATTTATAATTTGGCCTTACCAAGAGGAAAGAAATTTGATTCATATCAAATTTCTTTTCTACAAATTCAATTTGACAAACTAAATATAAAACATTCGCACTGTCCTTCTCATGCCATATTAGGTTCTAAACGACAGACAGAAAGATTCAAGAATTATATATCTAAAATTGTCTATATTATTAGGTAATAGACTTAAAAGTTTTTTTTAATCTATATGAAGATAAAAATCGCAAACACTTTTTCAACTCATAAAAACACGACAAGCCACTGCCATATTCCTCCCGTAACTGCGTAAACTAAAAGAGCCATAATTTTTAAAATTCTGTTTGAAAACCCCAAAAAATTGTTATTTGTTGTTGATTTATATCTCCTCTCACTACCTGCATCAGAAAAGGCACTGAAATAGTTGTGAACCACGAGAAAATCATACATTAAAACAAGGAATTTTCCATACTGAACCCTATTGCAGCTCACTATTTAAAATGGCGGAAGTTAACAAATTTGCCTCACTCGGCAGTACGCAGCATGACCCGAGTTAGACATCTAGCGCCTTCGGCGCTTCTATATCATTGCTAAAAGTGATGTGGCTGATAGATTTTTTTATAAAAAATCAAGAGAAAAAGGGTTAAAGTTTAAACACCCCTTAGTTGCAACTTGAAGTATGAATCAAAACGGGGCAATATTTTCAATAGTTTTCGTTTTACTTAACTCATTTTGAAAATTTATCTCACTAAATTGGATTCTCGTCGTCGTATTGCTTTGTTCGTATTAATGCTCATTGCAAGATTCACAGAATCCGGCGGACAGCCTATCCTGCGGCTATTCCTTTTTACACATTATTCTCAATACCTGCCAAAATAATGATTTTCATTGACTTTAACCAAAAATAGGATCGAAATCTGATAGAGACACCAAGCCATTGTTTCAGACATTAACTCTAATGCTTTATTCACTCAACATGTGGTTAGAAAAAATATAATCAGGTTAGCCAAGCCATCAGGTTTTGCAACTCAGTTTTGTTTTAGAATCAGCCCGTAAAGAAAACTTGCAATAATGCCCTTCTTAGCTCATTACAAAGGAAAATATGATAATATAAGTTGCAGAAGGTGTGGATTACATGAAGAAAACTTAGAGCATTTATGGCAATGCGAAAAATTCAAAAGGCACCTTCCAGGAATGAAACAGATTCTAAAAAGCGACGCAAAAGGCCTGATAGAAATCGAGAGATTGGTTGAATTTTTTCAAACCTAAGTGAAAATTAGTCTGTGGTACTTTACTGCACATGATGTCTTTCTTGGCAATTCTGTGTTTGTGCTATAGTAACTGCTCCGAAACGGGAGATTTGGCGAGATATTTTATTATGGGTTCGACGCAGGTTTTAAAGTGGTTGGGTCAAGGGAAAATTTCACAATCGTAAAAAGAGATTTTGAAAAAAAGCTCCATTGTTTTGCAAAAGATCTTCGGAAGCCCTGATTTGGCGGAGGTCCTTTCACGGTAACACAATAGAGTTCTAAAGTGTGACGTCACCAAAATCCTGTTTTTAAAATTTTTGAATTTTAACTACGTAACATTAGAGATCTCCACGAATTACTCTCATTTACGCAAAATGTCTAAAATCGGTTGAGATATGGCCAAAGAAATACTTTAAGTTTGCCAACGAACCACTGTTATTTTGGTTCTGTTCATAAAGTTATGAACAGAGACCAGAATACAGAGTAGAGGTTTAATGGGGAAAGAGCCAATACATATGTGGTCATATCTCTGCCGGTTCATAACACAATTGACTAATTTTCCATATTTTGAGGTATTTCATGATGCTCTTTCATGTTACGAAATCCAAGTACAAAATTTCTTAAAAAATATTTTTGTTACGTCATCACTTTAGAACTCTATATGGAATAGCCTGAGTTCCAGACCCCTTAATACTTGGGCTGGCTAACACTCAAAAACTTAAATATTATGCAGCTGGTTTAAATATCTCGATGTTCTTCTAAAACATAAAATATTCGCACACTAATAAAGCCAGGGGTAGACTGTTTAAAACAATATAGGAGAGAAGGAGAGAAAGAATGGATGTCGTCCCCAACCTGGCAATAGACACTTTATCATTGTTACTAGTGTTAGTCGGAACAGGGACTGTCTTTTTTTCAAAATCTGTCCTGTTGCATTTCACTTTCACCAAAGTCATCGTCGTTTAGCAAGAAGAATAGCAGCAGCTTCCTTGCAGACATTATTGACCGCAAATAATTATATGGCTTTGAAAAGATAGCCAATTCCTATGCTTGTAGCCATCAAGAATCTAACACAGTTTAAACTCAATCGACTAGTTGGTACAAGCTAAAAACAATAAAAAACTCGATGAATAACTACTGTCTCGCGTTCTTGACCTTCTTATAGTTTTATAGCATTCATAAAATTCGTAGTATTTTTAGATATAATTCATAGGTACTGTTCATAGGTATTCAAAGGTATTCACAGTTTCGAGCTGCAATACAAATAGCATATACGATTTGCAATAATCCAACTAAAAAGCATGTTATAAAACAGCCGACCTTTATAGGTCGCGTAAGAGTACGACAAATGTTGCTAGAAAAAGATTTAAATAAATCTATAATAGAAAAGAACAACCGAAAATTGTGCAACTTAAATCCTATTCAAAATGCGAGTTAAATACAGAAAGTAAATTGCAACATCATAGCGGAGTCAATATACTCCGCTCGATAACGAACCAAATTCAATTTATGATATAAAAGTACCAATTTGAAACTGGGACAAAACTATGACATAGGAAGACAAAAGAACTACTGGCAAAATAGGTACGTAGATAAAATGTACCAATTCAAGTCAGTAATAAAATATAAACGACTTGCTATAGTCCGCGCTGGCAACGATGGTGGATATAGCAATGCAGTTGATAGAAGGTTAAATTAAGCAGTGCGTTCGGAACGAAATTCATTATTGGGGGGGGGGGGGCTTCCTATTGTTTTCCTTCTCATTCAGTACACTGTTAAAAAGGAAACATTCTACAGTTTGACAATTATTGAGGGGGCTCCAGCCTATCATATTTTAGACCCATCTCTTTCAAGATTCGCTCCACCGTCCATGGAATAGGCTCCAAAGATCCAGAAAACGTTAATGTTTCAATGACTTTAGAATTACCCAGAGAACGAGGAGGGGGCGCAGCCCTACTTTGAAAAGTAGAAGGGTCCCCCTGAATAGGGCTGCAAATGGAGATAAGGGGGCGCCAAAATTGTTTGCTTGTAATATTTGGCTAGGAACATCAAAAATGATCGTGCACGGGTAGAACACTTCGCTGTAACTTGCTGTGAACAATCTAATAAAACGAGTGATTCTACAATCGAAGCACGTTGCGCTACCATGACCAAATCAACATTTGTGTAATATGTTTTCGTGTTAACTATTTCTCTATTTGTTTGTACTCGGAACGCCAAAAACCTGAGCATACGCCAAAGATCTTCGGGCCTAAGTACATGGAATGCACCCTGGCAATCAATACAGCAGCTTCTTGTTATTAACATCGATGTGAACCAAAGGTTACCCTTTCTTTCCTTATCCAATGTATGAATCCTCCCCTCCCAAATTTTTTCTAAAAACCAAAAAAAAGTGTTTTTCTGAGCATCGTCGAACTGTCTATTCTGAGCGGTGTAGTAATTTGTTAAATTTTAGTCTGGGAAATGCATTTATAGCCATTCTAGAAGGCTTGATTTCAAAAATTTTCTTCTACGTCGGACCCAACAAGTGGGTCCTCCTTTGTCACTAAACTTGATCCTTAGCCCAATTCCAGATTCAATTTTGTGGTACCGCCTCTGTCCGATTCAATAGTACAATTCAATTCTTGAAACTTTCAAGTTTTTGAAAGAACTACTTTTTAATAACTACTAAAGAATAACAAATTTGAACCATGTTTGTTTATCATACATCATGTATGCGATGACACTAGGCTGATAAAATCGCCCATCAGCAGTGGCGAAATGAACTAAGGTTACCTTTAGTTAAAAAACTAAGGAGCCCGAAACAAAAATTTGCTCTACGTTATTTTACTCTGAAGCTGGTATTCTGGATATAATAAACGAGTAGCCTGTATGAAACATCAGTGTAATTGAATAAAATGTCTTTTGATTAGTATTTTACGTTTTGCCTACCCTATTTCCTCGAAAATAGGACGATTCTCGAAAATAAGCCAATTCAAAATAGCTTGATATTTTACCAAACCACGATCGAGAAGGTCAATTGTTAGGATTACACACCTTTTTTTCAATTCATATTCGCATTCTTAGTCAAAACTCATTTATGAAATTTTGGATTCAAGTTGCAAAAATCAATTTCCCTTCAAGAAACACATGTTTTTATATAACCACGATATATAGATACCTTAGTCCTTTCAAATTTAGCCTACCTTCAATTTTGGCTCCCTTTAATTTTCGCCCCTTTAATTTTCGCCCCCTTTTGTGCAAAAAACCGCTCCCTTTAATTTCTGCCCCCAAACCCTTTAAATTTCAAAGCTTTGACCTAATCAGTTTCCAAGCAATGAACGCTCATACGGCATGGAACTACACTCGGGCCTCTGAAAAAATTTTTTTTGCTTGGAAACTTTTTGCTGAAAAATCGCTTGTGCCATTTTTTCTTGAATTATGGAGGCGCTTTAGAAGGTCGTGTACGAGACAACAAGTATAGAAGATCGCCAATTCCTAAAGGGGGACTCGAAATACTGATTGTACTAATCGTTTATAAGGATAAGGCGCCAAGTTCTGTCTTCAATCGAATGAAAGAATATCTGCAAGACTACTATAATTTTCGCCCCATCAAATATTTCCATAATTCGCCCCCTTTAATTCTCGCCCCTCTCCGGAGCGAAAATTAAAGGCAGGCGAAACTTGAAGGGACTAAGGTAGGGCGCAAAAATGGACTTGGCCACCCCAGAGAAAACATAGCCACCCCACCACTGCCCCACTTCCAGCGCCCTGCCCCCCTTGAAGGCCTCCAGCAGAGGGTTCCTGGAGGTTAAAGGAAGGCCCCTGCTATGAAAGTAGCATTTTATGCAGTCTTTTTTGATGTGTCACCTCGAGTCAGCCCACAGTCACCTCTAGCAACTCAACCAATGTTGACTTCTTAACTTTCCATGCAGATTGTGACGTCACGCCCATGAGTCCGAGGCCTTCTTCCTAAAGAAATATGGCTGACAACCAGTGGAAACTGACATCCGGTTCCTTCTAGAGCAAGTAAAAGATCAACAGTACTACAAAGTGGAAGACAGTCAATACCCTATGAATCGCTAGTTGTTATGACGTGATTTAGCTATCCAGCTTGGTTTTTAAATTGCAGCACTTCTTAAGAGAGGGAGGCTGACAGACAAATTGTTAACCGACTTGATCAAGTGATCGCCACTAAAATAATTTGTCTATTTCTTTCTTTCAAAACCTGTTCGATAAATATTGAAAGATCAAATTTTTTCAAGAAAGATCACGAAAGATGAAGAATTCTGATTCAGTGGCACCCCCAAGTGAGGTAAGAGATTAATGGTTAACTGCAGTGAATCCTAAGACATTTGGTTAACTTCAGTGAATGCAATTTTTCCAACATGGTTGGAGGGAGGGGTGGTGTGGTCATTACTTCTTAAGCTTATACAGTAGACTCCAGTAAAAGTCACTCCAAATTTTCCTTCAGAGTATTGTTAATGTAAAGGTTTTACTGTAAATTGAGCTTGATTGAAAATGTTTGTGTGTGACTGCCAATGCCACCTTGCATTCAAATTTTTTTCTCTCTATAAGATTTATGAGCTTTTAGATGTAAAAAAAAAGACATCTAGAGATGTTCGTTCATAATAAATATTTGTAACCTGCTTTGCAAGGCAAAGATTTAGAAGTTGATTTCCTTGGCCTCTATATATTTATTTGTGGCAGTTTACACAGCTGCTAAGCCAAAAGTGTAGGAATAGTAAGTCAACAAAAATCATCCATGCTTGTTTTATTGTGAGTTTTGTGGTATATAATTCATTAATAGATTTTTACAGGGCCAATTATAAAACAGTATTTATACTGCTTTTGTACCACTAATTTTAAAGATTAAAGTGAAATGAAATAAGAGGAAGGGCTTGGAATGTAGCTGGGTGTGGCTGTAGCTGGCATTGTGACTTTAATAAAATAACCAGAAGTGGAGTTGATTGTATCAAGATAAAATATGGAACTAAGATATTCTAACAAAAACCCCTTGATTTACCTCCCTTTTCGCATCCCAATTCTCAGTTGTCCGAAAAAAGACCACCTTTGACAAGAGTAAGCCTTGAGGAGGTGAATGAGCCATTGCTCTGACATTTTTAACATGTTTCAGTACGGTTTCCAGCCACTTTTCTTTCACCAACTTTTGTGTTTTCTATGCCCTTTCCCAAGGCAAAGTGACGATTCGGTTCATTTTCAAACTATTTTTCAAGCGCTTAAACAATGGGTTCTATTGACAAGCATAGCTGAGAACAATTAAACTAGAGGCTGAAAATAGATCATGAATTGATGCCTGATCAAAAAAAGATTAAAACCTTTACAATGAAATTATGTATTTTCAAATAAAACAGGTTTAGAATGACTCCTCCTTAAATGACTCCTGTTTAGGATCAAATGACTCCAATTTTAGCATATTAATGGGAACACAAAATGTAAAAAGGATTCTCTATCAGTCTCTATCATTAGTGTGATATTGAATTCCTAATGTATCGGGCTAGTGAATGAATTAAATTTCAAAGAGAGTTTCCCTTAACAGTCTTTTACTTTTCAAAAAGTTTAATTGATTACTTTCATTAGGCAGATTTCCTTGTAGATCATAAAATTATTTGGTGTTTATTATCTTATCATTTTTTCTGAATCTAGGAAGTGCCATCAAAGGATGCCAAGGAAGAAGATAAGTCCGCAAAAAAAGACAATAAACAAGTTTCCAAGCCAAAAAAGAAATCAAAAGATGACTTCAAATTCATAAAAATCCTTGGCGAAGGCTCTTACTCAACTGTAAGTTTGAACTTTAAAACTAAATATCTATGAATGACCCATCAAGATTATATTCACAACTCTTATTTCTTCTGTTGATGAAATTTAGTAATTGATATGAATGGTATACCAGTCTTTGTTATATGAGGTATGCAATCACATTCAAGTGATCTTGGATCACATGCCATCACTCGCCAAAAGAAATCAAGACATTGCAAACACAGCCTATTTTTATATTGCAAAGACAGCAATACAATAAAAACCATACCCTAAGACCCAGGACCCTTGAGAACTAGCACTACAATGGACCCCCAACACCAGAGGGTCTTCCCCTTCATAAAAAATATTTGATCAAAGTCTTTGTGGCAGTTGTTGTCAGCCTTTCACCAGGACAATTTTAAATAACTACTAGATTTTACAAATTTTTGGCATTCTTTTGCTTTGGTTTTGACATTATTATCCACATCAGCTGCTTTCAAATAAAAGGGTCTGAAGCCCTTGTTGTTATCCAAAATTTGATATCTCAGTGATAATGAGTAATATTTAAAAATGGCATGTCCCTACTTCTGTTTAACTGTGAAATTACATGAATTAAAACTCCAAAATTACCTCTATTAGTAATGTAGTTCAGCATTTTGTATATTGAATGCACAGTAAGCACAAAGTAATATAGCCAAAAACGACTTTGTACAAGAATGTTGAATATTGTTGGGATGTTTGAACCTAACTCTCCAACAGGTAAAGAGAGTAGGAAGAGCAATCATTGAAAAGAGAGCAGAAGAATAGAATTGGAAGATAGGTTATTTAGAACACAGATAAAAAAGGCATAGACACAAAATTAGGTGGAAGGGTTTGTGGCGTTTGGATGCAAATGGATACATTGTTTTTTAGTAACCAAATTCTTTTAAAGTGATGAACTACTGCCTCAGTATTTTATAAAGCTAGCTTTTATTGGTCACATTTTGTGTTGTCTTACAGGTTTACTTGGTTGAAGAGATTGCTTCAAGTAAACAATTTGCAAGTAGGTACAAAGGGAATACTATCTCTGTTCTTTGCTTGATACTCTTGACTTTTTGTTGTTTTTTGCTAGATCATTAAGTTGTTTTTGTTAAATTGTATGTATATAGATAATTTCTCAACCATCGCAGTTAGAGTTTAGAAGGTTCAAATGAATCTGCCATTGATTAAACTTATTAATCATAAAAGAGGAATATATTATATCTTAGTTTTTGTTGACTTTTTGTTGTTTTTTGCTATATCATTTAGTTGTTTTTGTTAAATTTTATGTATATAGATAATATTTCAACCATCACAGTTAGAGTTTAGAAGGTTCACATGAACCTGCCATTGATTAAACTTATTAATCATAAAAGAGGAATATATTATATCTTGGTTTTTGTTGACTTTTTGTTGTTTTTTGCTATATCATTTAGTTGTTTTTGTTAAATTGTATGTATATAGATAATATTTAAACCATCAAAGTTAGAGTTTAGAAGGTTCAAATAAATCTGCCATTGATAAAACTTATTAATCATAAAAGGAGAATATATTATATCTTAGTTTTTATTGATGATGTCATGTTTTATTTTAGTGAAAGTCTTAGAAAAGCGCCACATTATTAAAGAAAAGAAGGTTCCATATGTTTCAAGGGAGAAGGAGGCATTAGCCATGACAAATCATCCATTCATTGTCAAGCTATACTTCACATTTCAAGATATAGAAAATCTCTGTATCTTTTCTTTTTGTAAATTTTTTGAAAAAAAATGTTGATAGAAAGTTTGGTGTAGAGGAATTCTTCCCTGGTGATCCTCAGTGATTTGTCTCTGGAGAACATAAGTCATAGTTCTGCAAGAGATAAAATACAAATATTCACTTCTGAAAATGTTTGTCGATTATTTTTGCATGTTTGCAATACAGCATTTATTAATTTTTGCACAATGCTTCATGATCACATGATTTCTTAATAAACATCAGATTATGGCTTGTCCTTTGCCAAGAAGGGTGAAATGCTACCTTACATCAACAAGGTAAACGACACCAAAGTTGAAACTCTAAACAAAGCTTTTACTTGAATAATGGTTATATATTAGTCTTTAATTTCAAAAACATCATATACCTTGGTTTAGGGCTATATTTTAAAGATTTCTCTTTGGGATTCCCCATATAAAATTATTATTGCTATAATAGTGAACAAAAATGTTTATAGTGTACCATTTACATTTCTGTTAATTGTGTTTCTGTAGTTTAGATTTCATGTTCAAGATTATTATAGCAGAATTTTTCTGTTTTGGATAGCTTGGATCTTTTAATGAAGAATGCACACAGTTTTACTCAGCAGAAATTATTGTTGCGTTAGAATATCTTCACAGTCTAGGTATTATTCACAGGTAAGGAATTCTTCAAATGTTATGATTTTTCTTGCACTGAAATGCGATGGATATTTGTTTATCTTCCTAGTTTTTCATTTATCTTTTGGTATGATTTGTCTTTTGTTGAATCAGTCATGTTATGTTATTATAATCTTTACAAGAGTGACCCTATTATTTTTCTGTACTCTTGGATAAGCTAACAGTAACAGGTACTTTTCCCTTCATTATTGTAATTTTACTCAATATTCTGAGACATTTTTTCAAACTTGGGCAGCTGCTGCCTAAGTTGTTATCAGCTACTCAGTATTTTCTATATCTATATGATATTATTTTTATGGTCTATTAGTTGCTGTTGCATTTTTTCACTAAATTTAGGCTACATCCTACATTTTCACTCATACGTTTATAAAACTTTTCCATTTTGCAAAAGATGTTTTGTGTTTAATGAAAGCATAGTTGGCTAATACATCTTTTGTTCAGATGATTGTCAAATGAGTTAATCAAGGTTAAAATCTTAGATTTAGTATGGTGACTAGCATACATACTCTATGTGTTCTCAGCCAAATTTTTTCTAGGCACTTCCCCAAATCCTTAGAATTCCTCTTACTCCTTAGGTAGTCCCCAATATACTCCTTGTTACATTCAAACCTTTCTTCTCCCTTTTTTTGCCTAAAATGCCCAATTGCCTCTGGATCTTTCTCCTCATTCAGTCATACAGATACATATCCTAGAAATGCATGTAACACAGATGCATACCATCATACCCTCATGCAAATGCTACCACAAGTCAAACTAGACTTATGCAAATTTTCTATCAGGATGCAGTGCATTGCCCCTGTGGCCAATACCCAGGGGCAAAATATTCATTCTAGAATTCAGTGACAAGTACTGGGGAAGTCATATTTGATGTTTGGGGACAAGTTTGACTGTCCGTCAGTATAGCAACATGGTTTTGGGGTTAAGTATTCGATAGCATATTTGGAACAATAGGTTTTAATGTCAACTTAATTCATCAAAACAATAGATAGATTAAGACTTTCTATTCGATGATTTGTAGTAATTTTGATTTTATATTTAGTAGTATGAGTTTCTTTGAAATACATACTTCTTGTATATCGACACGTGAGGTGTTTTTGTTTATTTCTCATTAACTTCTTCACAGAGATTTGAAACCGGAAAACGTACTTTTCGGTGAAAATATGCATATCCTAATTACTGATTTTGGAACATCAAAGCTTCTTAAAAAAGATAGTAAGTAGAAGTCATATTTCTTAAAGCAATTTAAGCGTTTCCTTTTATCTGCAACATTGTCTGTTATTATGCCTTGAAAACCTGCCCACGATTGTCTTTTAAGCCCTAAATAAGTTTTTGGTTAATTATAGAAACTATTCGCTTTTGTTTATCTCATGTTGAGCTCTGTGCTCTCAACCTGAATACTTTCCGACAGTTTGCTAGCTCTTTGAATAGATACACCCGTTCACTTTGCGAAAGCTCTTTAACATCCGTTTGTTGCATGGCCTTATCTTCCTTCATTGTGAATATTCCAGTTTCAACATTCAACTCACAACTGTTTTCTTTTCGCAGAAACAAAGGCAAGCTCGTTTGTTGGAACTGCAGAATACGTTTCACCAGAGCTGCTAACTGATAAGATTGCATATAAAAGGTAATCAGACACACCCAATACAATTTCTGTCCTATTGTCATCGTAAGAATTCAGATACAAGAAATTAATAACGTTTCAGAAGATGTAGGATTGATAAAAGCAAGGATTCTGATTGGGAAGATTAAATTTATTTGAATATCTTCATTTCGGTTTTTGTCTTGTGTGATGACCCATCACTACATTATGCAATTCTTTATGCTAAACTCCCGATAACTCGAACATTCGCTATCTCGAACCTTGGCCATTGGTGCCTTGAATGTTCGAGTTATCGTGAGTTTTCTGTATTGCAATTTAATTAATGTTCTGACGAAAATCCCACGTTTTTCTAACGTAGATGATAAGAAAACACCTCAGTCACATTTTAAAACTTTTTACTTAGAAATCAATGAAATTTTGAATCTGTATTATTTTGGAATAGCAGATGCTCTCGGTAGATTTTCTCTGGCTCATTAAAAACTTCAGCTGTCTCTAGCAACAGTTCATCTGCATAGTATCTTTACGTAGGTTCTTATTTTCGTAAACATAGACCGCCTACGCTTATTCATATTCTGCTGAATTCAGGCTGTCTGTGAACGTCTTAGATAGAAACCGAAACCACACCAACATTTTTATTAATTCCCATATGCTACTTCCTTTCTAGCTTCTTTTGGTTAATCATCACTGGAAACATAGATGAGCAATAGAACTGTTAATGTATCATGCTAAATTTCAGCCCATTTTTATGACAATTCATATGGTTTATTTTTTCTTTCTAGCTCTGACCTGTGGGCTTTGGGTTGCATAATATACCAACTTAGATCAGGACGTACCCCTTTCAGGGCAAGGCAAGTCAAAATTTTTGTATGCCGAGTATATTAAATTTTCGAACATATAAAATTGGCATTCATGAACCCAAGTTTTCAAGGCCATTCTGCTGAAAATGTTGGTGGCGTGACGTCCTCGTGTAGCAACAAACAAATATTTTTGATGAATTATGTCGGTAGGTTGCCTTCGACATATAAGCCAGTGGCGCTCCACTGTCGGTCTTTTAGCTGGTCGCTTTGTAATAGATCAGTTACATGAGTAGAGCCACGTAAAGAACAGGCCTAAGTTTCTCAGGTGGTCCTTAGTCACAATTGTTTTTTCTACCTATTGCCTCTAGGCACGTTTCAAAATGCTCAATTGCTTTACTTTCAAACAGTATCCTTGTCTTTCTCTTTGATGTGCTCTCACCTCATACCTATTCAGACTGTTACGTTTCAACTTACTGTCATCATATGCTTGCATCAAATTATCTTTCATTTTTTTTACAATTTCTATGTTTAGTGGATACCTGTTTCAGACATTGACTTCTCTTGATTATTTGCAGCAATGAGTATCAGACATTCCAAAGAATTATCAAGTTAGAGTATGAATTTCCTGAAGGTTTCCCAGAGTGCCCTAAGGAACTTGTGCAAAAATTACTTGTAAGTCTAGCTGTTTATATCTCTTGAGGTTAGGCTCATCCAACCGTATAGATTATACCTAGTAAAATGATTTATATAATTCAAATGATCAAGCTTATAACCGCACCAATTGTGGCCTGAATGCTCTTATGACACAACCAAGGCGTTTGTTATTGTTGATAATTCGTGTCCCTTGGACTTTTATTTATCTGCTAGATTTTATTTTAAAGCTATAGATACTTCAATCAACAATTAAAGTCATTATGCTACTCTAGAAACAATTGAAATAAAAGTCTTTTCATATCATATTTTGTTACCATTTTCCAGGTTTTAGACCCTGCAAAGCGCATAGGATGTGAAGAATTAGGAGGTTTTCCCGAACTTAAAGCTCATCCGTTCTTTAAAGGTAAGAAACTACTTCCCTTGTTGGGGAGACGAGCAAGATGAAGTTTTTAATTGATTGAGGCAACTCTCCCCCTTTCAATGTATGCCCTTTGAATCCCAGTCGGGGGGTTGTCTCACTCATTTAAAGACTCTACCTTGCTCGTCTCCCCAACAGTCCTCTGTGTTGACATCGGTCCAGACCTTTAAGTGAGAGCCTGCTGAATTGTCCCTTTTTGTCTCTAGCATCCATTATCGGACATAGCTGTGTAGACAAATGTGTATGCAAAGTCTCCCTCATTTTTAAATTAGATTTATCGAAATTGAAATGGGTTTTGCCTCCACTTAGATTTTGCCACCAAAAGCTCTTAGCTCTCGTAGCAATTACCTTAATACTAAAGCAGGGAAAGTAAAATTCTGAAAATGTGAATTGTAATTCCATTTATGCTTCTTGACTAAATGTTGCTATAATCTACATGCTATCAAGGCTACATTCTCAATTTAGGTACCATACTTCTTTGAGTAATCCTTTTTATTGTAATTAGTGAGATCATGGCCGCATTATTTTACACTATAATAACGATCAATGTAAGTAAATTGTACCAGGAAAACTTTTTTTAAATGAATAACGATGTTTTGAGCATAGCCCCTGTTACCTTGATAACGGGCTATGCTCGAAACGTCGTTATTTGATCGTTATCATAGCATCATATTGTACCGCACGCAATCTAGTATATTTATGGAATCTTTATTTTACACTAGTTGCACTTGTTTTGATGCTTACTTTTCACAAGTTACCTGTTCAAATCACAGACACTAGCATCGAGCCAATTTCTAAATGAATTGTTTGCACTTTTAAATGCAAGAGCTGAAGATTCTTTTCTGTAATCTTCGATTATTGTTAAGCCTCTAAGCAAACCAATTTTTAGCTATCTGCATTTAAACAGAATGGATGTGATCTCTTCACATGCAATGTGATGTCTTTCTAGACAGTATTACCTTATCAAATATCTTTATCTTGTCTTAGATATTATCAATGTGCATGTACACAAATTGAAAGTGACCTTATCACAAACAACACGAGCATTTTACATATCACACTATGTTCTGAATTTTTTTATCTTTATCAGGAATAGAATGGGACACTTTGCCTGAACAACAGCCGCCAAAACTGCTGCCCTACCTGCCGTCGAAGTCAGCTGACTGTGAGGACTTAGGAAGCAATTATGATGTATGACATCAGTAATACTTGATATTTTGCCTTACGCATATCAGGGCAGTTAGTTGATCTTTTAGACTCACATTTGCAAATTTTAAAGTAATGTATCGAAATTTATTAGCAACAGAAACTAAAATCAAAACAAAAAATATCCAGCTGCACAAGTCATGTTAAGAAAAGACACGAGAATTATGTTTTCTCCCTATCAGGCGAATCTCATTTATGGCAGAGGCCGACGCCTGAGAATTTTCCATCCTGGAATTTGTTAGTCAGTTTTGCCTATAGCTGGAATCCTTCATCTTTTAGATATCTGTCTCATCAGATGAAGATGAAGAGCTAATGAACGACATGTTCAATGATCTGTTAATCAAAAATATCACAAATGATGTTCGAGAGAAGTCCAGCTCGGTATCAAGTTCACAAGCATCATCAACCTCGTCTTCATCCAAGGACTCGCCTTGGTTAGTACTATAGAAAAGATCATTTAAGTGAAATTCCTTCTGCTTTTTTGTTTCAGTAATATCAGTCGAACGCTTTGTAATTTTGAAAGCATGCAATTTTTTCCATGTGATTTTTTAGGATTTTGTCGATAGATTGTACAGGTGTTTCTTCCTTCACCTCGTCACATTAAGGCCGCTGGATTATGGTTGTAGCAGATTACTTTTTTATTAAAACGGATTCTCCCTAATTTCATACGAAAAAGTGGAACCTTTGATATACAATAAATTGAGATACTATTTAAAAGTGTGATTAAAACGTTAATAACACTTCAGACGATGTCATCATTTTTTGTAGTTACCTGATTGCTATTTTTTAATCGTTTTAAGACTACGAAAGCTAGCCAGGCTCGATCTGAATTTTGCCCTTCTACACAGAGCGCTGCAGAAACGTACATGCGAGCTACAGCATGGCGAAATGGCTGAATATGGTTTTACTAATTGAGAGATGTTTTGATCTACTCTTATGTCTAAAATTTACTTTCATTTTTGACACTAATAAAACATCAAGATAGCGTTTAAAATAAAATGCTTTGTTGTAAAAAACTCATTTTACCTTTCCGATAAAAGATACAAATCTTCGGTCCCAAACTCATTTGTCCGACCAAGTAAAACAAAGGAGGAATTTGAGGGTATAGTTCTTCGCCAATTTTGGAAACAACATATGACAGCAACCCCCAATTTTTATACCGTGCACTAGAGATTAAGACCTGGTCCCTATATTGCCGTCCTAACTGCATTAAACCTAAGATCAGCCGGCCTCCTTACCGGGGCTGTAATATCCTGAGGCAAAGGAAATAGTTAACCTGGACTGAGCCAAGGCTCTGCATAATGCAGCCACCACTATCCTGAGACGGCTTGGCTTTTATATGTGTTTTCATTCATACTCAATCTGTGTTCGTGTTCTTGATATAGGCAACAGTTTGTAGGCAATCGACCCATATTGAAAGAGGGACTGGTCGATAAGCGAAAGGTATTCCGTTTCTATAAAGGCTTCATTTTCATCTTCATTATCTTCATCAAATCAGCGCTAAGCTATAATTGCAATATTTTAAACCACTAAACGCCTCCTTGCCAAATAATGATGTCACAGAGCTAATATCTAAATTTTTTAAGCAAATTCTACCATGTAAAACCATACTCTGTTAGTACAAACGAGGCAATTAAGCAGCTGTTCCCAGATAGTTTACTGATTTAATGATGATGCAGACTTTCTATTTATTTAATGTCCTTTTGCCATATAATTGTAAAAATTTTCTGAATTTTTGTTTCAAATCATAAATTCATTTTCTTGTGCACGCAGGGTCTATTTGCAAAACGTAGGCAGCTTATATTGACAGAAGGACCTCATCTCTTTTACGTCGATCCCCATGCAATGGTTTTGAAGGGAGAGATTCCGTGGTATGTTTCTGCATGCTATGATTTTTGTATACAATTATTCCAATACCGGGTAAATTTTCTATGGTACAATGATAGTCAGCGGGAAGCTTAGAGTTGTCTTATGATTGCATTGAAAGTCAACTATTTGACACGCCTTAAGCCCCGGCCAAACGACTCGATTTTTCACTCGATTTTTTATTCGACAAGAAATCGAGCGAAAGATCGAATCGTTTAGCCACCCATGCTCGACTTCGCTCGATTTTGAGATCAAATGTCGAGAGAAAGATCGAGCGAAAAATCGAATCGTTTGGCCAAGGCTTTACCTTATCAAGCTCTATGTGTTTGATATCGATCACTCTGCAACAGACCAGTTTAAAGACTCATTGCTAACAATGAGCCTTTGCGAGCGTGGCAAATTGTCCAGGCGGCGATCCTAACAATAGCAGTAATTTTCTACTTGCTTTTGTTGTGTAGTTTCAATGCCACATTTTTAACAGTTTGGTTTTCTTTTACAGGACGAAAGATTTACGGCCAGAGGCCAAGAGTTTCAAGATTTTCTTTGTTCATACGGTAAGATAAGCAGTGCGATCACTCTAGGAGCAACAATTTTTTTCAATGGGATTGAATAATGGTTTTATATATATAGATTTTCAAGAAAAACTCTCTCATGTAAACGTTTCGACCAAAGTCTTCATCAGTAATACTTAACAAATCAAACGGAGTAAACATATACAAAAGCAATACAATAGAATTAATACAATAGAGTTGGTACAATAAAGTGAATACGATGAGGAGGTTAAAGGAAAATGCCTATTACAGTAGTTTTTGTTAAAAGTGTAACTCAATGGAAGGGTTAGAAGAAAGCACAGGAGAAGGTGCTGCTAAAGTAGGCGGCAATGCAAGTCTCACGTGGGCTCAAATGATATGTGTAGCAGAAAAGAACACCTGTTTAAGAAGAATAATAGATACAAAAAGAACGTAAAGAAAAAACATATGCTAGTGGAAGGAGAAAAAGAAAAAAAAATAAATGATAAAATGCAAAGAAATTGCCTAAAATCTATGTATCAAAATGCCTAGTGTTTAAGCCCTTAGGAGAAAAACTGTCTAGCTTATACTGCCAAAAGCTTTCTTGCTTTCAGTTCCCCCCAGTAAGCCTATCAAGCATACTAACCCTTGTATCCTGCAGAAACCCCCGGTGGCCTTCTCCAGAAAAGTGCCTAAAAAATTCCGCCTGAGATACTGAGGATCCCTGACTAAACTTACGATTACATGCCTTATAGTTATTAAACCTTAATCTAAAGGGCGTTTTAGTGCAACCAACAAACTGCCCACCATAAACATTGCACTCTAACAAATACACCACATTAGACGAATCACAGTTTAACGAGTAATTTATCTTATATTCCTTACCAGTTACCTTAGACTTCAAACTATCACAGTTTCTCATGACATTACACACTTGACAACGACAACGACCTCTACCACAACCAGAACATCCCTTAGTATGTGTGCCCCCTTGTCCCCGATTACTGAGCCTAGCCCTGACCAAAATGTCTTTAAGGTTGTTACATCTTCTAAAAGCAATTATAGGTGGCCCAGGAAACACCTTCCTATGCTCCTCCGAATGGTTGAGCATAGATTGGAGTTTCCCTGCCGCTTTCCCCAATCCATTGAGTGCTGGATGGTATGTTAGTACAAATGGAACCCTTTCCCCCTCCCCTGGTCTTTGGTTTTACTACCCGAATTATCAAGAAGAGTCGTCCTATCTAACTTACGTGTTTTATCTATCTGTTCATCAACTAGAGACCCTTCATATCCCCTGTCCTTAAGCCATCTAGCTAACTCACCTACCTCATCTTCGAAAAAGCGATCTTCAGAACAAATCCTACGATACCAAAATGCCTGGCTATAGGGGATCGCTTTTTTAGTGTGCCATGGATGACAAGACTTCTTATGCAGGTACTGATGTGTATCAATAGGCTTGCAAAACAAGTCTGTCGACAGGACTCCCCCCCCCCCCTCACTTGAAATAACCTGTACACCTAAGAAACTCATGCTATCCCTTGAGTGTTCGCTAGTAAACTTGATGGTATCATGGATACTGTTGAGGTGGTCAATGAACTCTTTCAGCTTCTCTTCCCCGTGCATCCAGATAAAGAAAGTATCATTCATTTATATAAATATATTATAGTAATTATCATATTGCTGTCTAGAGTGCTCAACTTTTCGGAGCGACTTTTCGTCAGCAGTGTGGATATTGCTTCTGTTTTTTTCAGAATGTTGTGGGTATTTACAACGTCAAGAAATGTACCCAAAGCACATGAAAACATAATTAGATGTACCTGAACTTGTCAGAGTTAATTGACATCAGCTTACTTCTTGTGTGAAACATTGTAGAATTCAAGAGCGATCATTGATTCCTGCTTGTACCTAAAAATTAAAACAAACTTTTCTATTTTAGAGCTGGTAAACCTGTTGAATTGTCGTTGATTACATTCATGTCATAATTATTCATGTTGTCAAGGTATGATATAAATTTGAGTATTATAACTCTGTATTTCAGCCGTCAAGAACATATTATTTGGAGGACCCTGAAGGATATGCCATAGAATGGGTGAAAAAGATTAATGAAGTTCATGAACGATATTTTAAATAATGTAATAAGACTGTTAACACTGTCGAGTTGTGTGTGCGGTGTTTGGTTAGTCAGTCTTTCGAAATTGTTTAACGCCATTCATCGTTTGATGTATTTATGGAAATTCTCCATTCTTAATTTTCATTTCTTTACTTAAAATCTAGCAATAAAGAAATGGGATGAGTTATCAAAGGGATCTGAGAATTAGATAGGATTTTCAGGTAATGGACATAGCAAATCCATATGCATATCTTTACTTAGAATTGGCTATAGAATTCAAGAATGGTTTGATATAAAGTACAATCTCGATAACCAAAACCCTCGATAACTCGAACTCTCGAAAACCTGAATCCTCGATAAAGCGAACCCTCGTTATATCGGACCCTTGATACATTGAGCCCTTAATAGATCAAACCATCGGCACTCAAACCCTTAATATCTCGTTCCCTTGATATCTCATACCCTCAATAGCTCGAAATCTCAATAATTCGAGCTCTTAATATCTCGAACCCTCAACAAGTGGAACACTCGAGAACTCGAACCCTTAATAGCTTGAATTTTCAATAACTCGAACCCGATTAATTCTCGAGCAGTCGCATCGTTCCGATTTGATAGCCTGGAAATTGGTGTAACGATGTTGTAAGAATAGCTTTCCATAAGACCTGACAATTTATTGATCCATTGTAAAATTGTTTGTTAATAGATAGCCTTGACGAGCAGACATGCAGTCAGTCAATAAAAATCACTCGAAACTGACAGCACTTTAAAGTCAAGCGTCAGATTTAGCAGAACAATCTTTTCCGTTAGCATGATTTTAGCAATATTTTAAATAGGTGATTTTAGATAATTCTACTATTATTTATGTCATAAACGGACTAGTGAACTTAGCGGTTGCAAAATGGAAAGCGGTCTGCCTCGCCATTTGTTTTGCCCAGCTTTGTAACAAAATGGTAACACTAAACTTTACCCTACTTATTTAATACAGATCTTCAATGACTCTTACAAGTCTTTATCTTTCTTTCAATTGTAAGTTTGAAGGTTTTGTTGATTAATGTGGTAATGATTATCTACCGTAACCAAGAAACCTAGTGAATATGAAAAACTTTTATTCTATGCTTAGTCTTTTTCTGAGGGACTGTCTATCGTGTTGCTTCCTTAGACATCCACTTTTTAGTGCTCCACAGAACATCACGGAATTTCTTTTGCTCGATTCTCTTTTGCATCTCTCTACATTTTCTCGCAAAGAGCAATACGGTTCGTACTTTAAACAAGTTTCACACACGACAATAACGACTAGTGTTACTTTTGAAAAGATTATATAAAAAACCAAGTAAATGCGATCATAAAATCATCACGAAAACCAGATTCTTTGAAAATGTGATTCTTCGAAAGTTTGGTTTACATACCAGATTACTTTTTCCCTTTACTGCTGGGACATGCAAAAAGGCCCACTAAGCAGCATGCCCACCAGCCACCAGTCGGTGCCTTAGGCAGCCTTTCCACTAGCCTGGGTTAAAACATATCCGGGTTAGAAGTTATCCATTTCTGCGTCGCGTTCCCACTAGCCCTCTTGAAAAACGGATAAGTTTGAAAACGGGTCTCAAGGTGGGTCAGTTTTTGCCCGGTATCTTTTGACCCACCTGCAAGTTAACGGAAATGCCGAAACCCGGATAACTTCTGCACCACTTGCAACAACAGCAACGTTTAAAAATTGAGATGGCGCCAAAATTCAAAAAACAAGATCCTGGATGTCAATGTTGCTTCCATTGGCCTACAACGATAGAAATTGAAGGATTGTTGATGCAAATACCGATTTCTCTTACAACTTTTCACCCTGGATACATTTTAACCCGGCTTAGTGGCAACGATCAAAAACGGATTGAAAACGGGTCGAAGAAAAATGCCGTTTCCATTGACTCACTTTAAAAACGGATAACTTTTAACCCAGGCTAGTAGAAAGGCTGCCTTAAAAACGCCATGCCCCTTCCCTTTTGAAAAGGCTGCTTTCTTGATGAAAACGCCCAAGCAACACGTACTAGAATAAAGAGCAGATGCGTAATTCAAGCTGTGTTTCGCGGTTGTCTATTAGAAAATCAATCACCGGTTGAACTCTTTCAACTGCACTGCACCTGCAACCAAGTTTTGTCTCTTGAGATCCGGTCGTCTATTGTGATTCGTGTGCGCTTTTGTTTCGGAAGACAGTGAACGATCCAGTAAGAAAACGCTAACCAGAATCGCGACAGATGTGTATGTAAAATCATTTCTACTCCGTACGCAAATTAAGAATGTGAAGAACATAGCCTACACCAACATCATCATGTAAAAACCTTCGATTTCAAGAGTTTGAAGAGGCATTTCATTTTATGAAGTTAGCTGTGTTAGTTTTGGACTGATAATCTGAGGGAAACCGAAAGTACGCCATTGCTGACTTTGCTTCTGTTGATGGTGTTCTTAGATCACTTTAAAATTTTGGCTTTGATTTCACCTGTTCTTCACGTACAATACGCAGACATCTTGGTTGGCAACATATTCAAGAGGTTCTGAATTACTGTACAACAGAAAATTTCTGCTGGCCAACGGAGTTTCATTGCGTTGCTGATTTTCAACTTCGTTGATGATGTTTGATCGTGTATCGTCGGACGCTTGCTGCATGTTTGCTGTTTGTGATGGATTGCGTGCTCTTTAAACAAAAGCAAAACAAAATTCGGCTCTAGACAATGAACGTTCTGTAGGTTAAATCTGTTAGTTACCACCAGCAAGTTTGCTGTTCTAATTCCAAAGCTTCCAAAAATTTCAGTACAATCCAGGAAAGGAAGCTTATGTTTGAAAATTCTCAGCGATGGAGCTCCACGTCCAGAGATAACAACGGCCAAATCCACAACAGCTAGACTTACCTGTTAGAGGGTTGGATTGTTGTGTGTGAAAGATGCATTCACATGTCGATAGCAGCTTTCTTCTGCCAGAGATGATGACGGAAAATAGCCGTTTCTCTACGCCTAGAAGCAGTGTCGGTGATGGAATTTCGACAGATTGTGATGCTGATGTGGAATCAAACATGTCTGGAAACTCCGAAGAGACATCACCCCACCGCAGACGCAGTTCATACGGTATTTACGGCATAGTGCCAGCAAACAGATCAACAATCCTTGGTAAACAATCAGAGCGTCTCAAGAAGGAGAGCGAGCATGAAGAAGAGGATATGTCTTGGAAAAGCATTGCTATGCAGCATAAACTGGTCCTTTTGTGTACGGTAGCTTTTATAACTCTCATGGTATTTAGCATTCTGTTCACATTTGCTGTCTGCCAAAGTGAATGCAAAAAGGAGAATATGCAGGAACTAAACAAAAGTGATCTTAAAAGCAAATGGCCCCTTCTTCTAGAAAACCACTATCCACAAACCAAGATGCTTCTGTCAGACATCAATGGAGATGGTGAAAACGATATTGTAGCTGCTTTCAGACAAAATGCAAGCGTAGTCACAGATGTTGGTAGCATAGAAGATGGTAACAAATCAGTCATCAAAGCCTTAGATGGTAAAACTGGCCTATTATTAAAGGAGATAGCGATAGATTTCCTTCCCTTTTGGATTTACGTTGACGACAAGGTCAAGGCAAATACCAGTTGCTTTGTTTTGTCTCGATATGGGGAAGTTGCAAAGGTGATGATAGCTACAGAAACCATAGTCTGGAGTGTTCAACCATGCTCGGAGGTCCACTCTGTTCTGTTGACAAAAGACCTTGATTTTGATTCCAACTCAGACTTGCTTGTTGTTTGTTCATGGGTATCAGCAACCGATACTACCATTTCAGGTATCGCATTGATATCCAGTACCAGTGGAAGCCTTATTGGAAGTAAGATAAGATATCAGCTGGGACAAACACCTTCTCCTTTCTTGATGCAGCACATAAACAAGAAGAACGAAACATGCATACTCTTTGGGACAGAACGACATGGCAAAAGCACGGTTCTTGCAGTAAGACTCAAACGGCTTATAGAAATAGCAACCGGCACGAGAAGTAAAGTCAATCTCGTCAGTGAGAACCCCTTGGTGGTTGCAAAGAATGTAAGGACCGATGTTCAAGCTGCTTACGAAGATATTTCTGGTGATGGAGTTAAAGATATTGGATTTGTACTGCAGCACGGGATGATCTCATTCATTGATGGTGCAACCTTAACCTTGAAGAAAACAATAGATGCAAGACATGGTAGAATAATCAGGTAATATGAAGGCTCGTCCATTGAAATTTATATTTATTACTGGTGTCTGCTGCTAAAATGATTTCTGCTGGATATTTATGAATATCAGATGTTCTAAAAAAGATTTTAATTATCAATGTAGTTTAGCATGAGGAATAATGAACCCAGAGCAATTTAATAAAAGTATGACTTTGTACACGGAAGTTGAAATTGTTGCAACGTTTATTGTGCTCGAAACGTCGCAACTGATAACATCAAAAATTTCTCTGAACGCACTGCATTTTAGTTTCTGAATTAGGTCTACTGTCTTCTTAGACTTGATTCAATTTCATGCCCTAAAATCCTCCCAAAAATTCCATTATCCAAAAGAAATATACACAATCTACCATTTTCTGAAGAAATGCTACACAAAGGTATCAATCCTTTTTTGCTGCTAGAAGATATTGCTTCGAATGCAGCTTTTTTCTCAAAACATCTTCTAGTATTTTTAAAGTATAATTTTCTAAAAATTTTACGAATAAACAATAAATGTATGAAAAAAATACTTAGCATTTCAGATGCCTTTAGAAATATTTATAGCAAATATTTCAAGTGCAATAGAGAAAGTTTCTTCTGAAAGATGCAAAACCTTTTTGGACACTGGTCTGACATTGCAACATACAAACAGGAATATATCACAAAAAAATCTAATTCTGATGGCAAACCAGGAACAAATTATAGGCTCCTTTCTAATTATATTAACAATATTCATTCTATGTGCTTACAAATAGATAGGGCCTTTTCTTAAGCAGAGTTCACTTTGATCTTGCTTTCTTTCTTCTCCTTCTTCAATCTTGTTTTCTTTAATTTTTGTTAGATTATTAGATTATTCTCGTTCTTATAATCCGGTTAGATAGTTTAGAAAAACATGAACAAAGATAAAAACCTAATGGGAAATTGAGATGTGATCTTGACTGTTAATTCCAAGAATTTTTGATTTGTGTGATTCAATATTCACTACAGTAGTAACATGACTTTTGAAATCAAAAACATGCCATCATCATAGAAATCATCAATTTAAGATTCTCTTTGAAACTCTCTTTGATAAAAATGGTCCTCTGTTGATGGCATGGCCTTTTTAAAGGGTTATTTGCTGCAGGGGCAAGCCTTTTTTCTATAGATGAAAGGACAATAGTCTACTATAAATAGCAATGGAAAGTCACCATCGCTGGAGGGGCATTCGCCCCCCCCCCCTCTAGTTTGTATGTTAAGAAAAGCCTCTGATTGATAGATATGTTATTTTTAGGATATCTGTTTTATCTGCAACGAGCTTCAACAGACCTCGTCTTGCTGTTCTAAAAAGCGGCAAAGACAGATGTTCAAGTGCAACGTTGAATGTTTACGATTTTAAGAATGCATTCAATCCATACGCAATCGAAATTCCATTCAACCCACTGTTGGTATCTGAGTCCTATCTGAATGGAAGGGAAGCATTCATTTTCTGGATATCCTCTCAACTGCATGCCTCATGTGCTAGTGAAAGCCCTATGCCTTCAAGAAACATAACTGAAAAGACTTATTCGAAGAAAGAGTTCAACTCTAAAGTAGCAAGTCATATGATGACTCAGACTGAGGAGTCGGGCATTGATGACATAGCAGATGATATCGACATTGATGCAATTGACAGAGATGTGCTAGACAACCTAAGAGAGTATGTTGGCATCGATGACAAAGGCGTCACACGACATCATAAACTCTTTCATTTGGTATGCAACTACTTGCTGTTGAGATTCCTCATATCCTATGGCATTACAACTGATTCAGTTTTAAAAGATTTTAGGTCAACCAGAAACCATCTTCTAAACCTGAGCAATCGAAACCTCGGAAGGGCTTTGACCGACCAGCTAAAGGGGCTGTTAGCTGCTGATTATGACAAGGATGTTGACATTCCACCATGGTTTGATGATGTTGAGAATGACATTGACTGGTTAAAGGATGCAGGAATGAAACGCTCTGTGAAATCAAAGCGTGATATCCAAGGCATTGTCGACGGAGAAGGGGATTGGAACATTGGAAATAAATTGTCTTTTGAAGAATTGGATGGCAAGGAACTCGAGGAGGAAGACTTGAAGGAGTCTCTGACAGTCTCTGAACCATTAAAGAAGATTCCGAGCAAAGAAGAAACCGAGAGAAAGCAGTGGACTACGGACATAAAGAGCTTGTTTAGAGACAAAGTTAAAGACATTTCACACTTAAGCGAGGCTAGAAAAGTTTCACACAACGACATGAGACAACCAAGTAATAGAAATGGATTAAAAGAAACCTTTGAAGAAACACTGAATTCAGAGCCTTGTCATCTGCCAGTTCCCCGATTTAAAAGCCTTGAGATAATCAAAACGAAATTTAAATGGCGGAATATCACTGTTCTTACAGAAGATGGTTAGTACTAGTTTATATTGGGATTTTTAAGTGCAACAATAAATAGTTCTCAGGCATTATCCCGTGAGAAAAAAAATTATGCACAGATATTTTATGAAATTCTTTATTTAGCAATGGCTTTCAAGAATCTTAAAGAAACGATCTTTTAAAGGCAGGAATTTCAAAATCACATTGAAAACTATTGTGTTGGATGCAAAGTATTCATGTCTAGTCCCTCGCTAGAAGTGTTGAGTACCTGCGCAAAATTTAAACAAATTACAAAGTTATCTCTTTTCTCCAGGGGGCTCAGCTCCCTTGTTGAAATTAAGGGAGATAAAAGGGAGCTCAGTTCCTCTTGACTAGCCAGCGTACACTTTGTTTGACGAACTCCCTACTTGAAATAACCCTATATTTTGCATTTCAATAGTTTATTGTGAGATCTAACTTGCAATGTACAAGCTATCTCTGGCAAGCATTGAAGGCCTGACGAGGTTTATGTTTAATTGTGATATCTGCAAAAACGTTTTCTAAGCTAAGCAAAAAGGTTGTAGTTGTATTGTGACTTCTGTTTTATCAACAGTCAAAGAAAGACAAGATAAATGTCTCTGTTCTATTCTGTACTTTCTTTAAATAAGCTTTATAAAGCATCTTTGTCATAGTAAATTTTCTAGAAACCTTCTTTGACATTGTCACATTCGTTCTCTTTTAGGCGCATCTGATAAAAAGTATGATAACACAGCAGCTAAGGAAAAGAGGTTATCAAGAAACGTGTGTTCAGGAATACAGATGCAAGTTCAAGACATGTTAGTGGATAGCAATCATATGTACTATATGTTGGTATATTACGGCGGATCTTTGCAAGATAATGTCCTAACCCAGATAAATAGTGTTCGGTTAAACAATTTTGAATGACCAAAACACAACACTGGTAAAGCAATCGAACTACTTAACACTTGGGTACAGCTGTCGAACTTTTTATCAGGAGCATTTCAATCTGTTGTAGTGTCAAGAAATCCATGTAACATTCTCGGATCTTGTACTCATTTCTATAATTCATTTCTAACCATTCAAATTTTGAACAATAGATCGATACTTCGCCAAGAGCATTACTAAGATAGCAATAATCTTCCTTTGTAGGGTTTTAAACAATGTCAAGAGATGAGAGATCGGTCTAGGGCTAGGTTCGCTTGTGATTTTATGGCGGCCATACATTAGGAATGCAAATGAAAACAAAAGAAATTAAATTGCCACGCCCAACCCCTCCTTAATCTCTTTGTTTTCTAAGGATGGTTTCCAAAGCTTGAGGAAATTGTCCATGGGAAGAACGAAAACTTTTCTGGACCCTGAAATTTTACTCCCTAAATAAAGTTTTTTCCAATCATACTCTCAATACCACAGGGTGACAGCCTACTGAGAAAGAGATGTCGTCGAAGGAAGACTCAATGACTTGATCGAGCTTCCTATTGTCTTGAACCACAAGAATTTAAACCCCGCTCAATTTCCATAGAAAAAGGCCCCCCAACTGAAGCGATAACTCACTTCTCAAAACCAATGATTGAATGATTCGCTAGGCGTCATCGAAACAATATGTATATCAGTTGCAAGAAAGAATAGGGGCTAGGCCCTCTTCTAGGATTGGGACACCCGTGCCACAAGAGAATCTAGCCTGTGTTCCAAACCACTAACTTGAAAGTAAGGGTGTAGATAAACACATTGGGGTCTGGAACACAGGCTTAAGGGAAGCTCGATCCAGTCTTTAAATGGATCTGTGTAGAGCTGTCGTCGTACAACAGAGCTGTTGTTATTGAGATTGGTGAAAATTTGCTTCGATTGAAATGATACAAACAAAATGACTGAAACTGATAAAAAAATGTTTGCAAAGGAACATTCTCAGACCTGTCGCTCTTGTCACTCTGGTATTTGTGCAATGTATACATGGGCTCCGTCACAGGTTGAAAAGTGGTGAGCAAAGGGAAAATTTAACACCCATAACAAAAGGTTTTGAAAAAACAATCTATTGTTTTGCAAAAAAATGAGGGGGGCGTAGGTTTTGAGTACCAAAGTCCCAGGGGGATACTCCCATTATGGCCTAACAGTCCAATCAGGGTCAAAGAGGGCCAAAGCTAACATGTTAAAAAATTACCCTCCAATGGTAGTCTTTTTTACAATAATCCTCAAACAGTTTGTACGTGCCTTGTCCTTCCTTTAGAAATTTCTTTGCCAATAACTGTTGTTGATTCAGAAAAGATAAAATCTTGTTCATTCTCTATAGTAAATCGCAAGCTAAACTAAGCCAATGTGTTATTATTGAAACAGAGCCATTTGGTAGGCATTTGGTAAGACCCTCAAATCGACTGGAACTCCCTGTCCGGCCCAAATTGGAGTCCCCCACACCCTGGGGCTTCATGTTTCTATTAGAAAAACATGTTAGTCATCTCACATGAAACCAACATTTTTGCTGCCTCAGCTAAATATTTATGCTTGAAGAAAGATAATCCACCTGCAGAAAAACCATAAATAGAGAATTCACATACAGCCAGGAAGGCAGCTGAAGAATAAAAACTGTTAACGTCCAGATGTCTGAAACCCATAAATCTGCACATAGGAGACACTGTCATTAAAAGAAGGAGTTTCTAAATTTTCTTTTTTTGGAAATTGAAAAGACTGCTCTTCATCTTTAAAAACAAATGACAAAACTCTTCATCTTTTAAGACTAGAATCTTAGTTAGAAATCAAATTTAAGGTTTGCAGATTAGCAACTAGCCAAACTTATCACAAAAACATTACAGAGAGAAACTGATGTGCAGTTTTAGATGGCAGGCATCAATCAGAAAAGGTTGCTCTTTGCAGCTTTTTTAAAATAACATCAAAGGAGAAAGTTTATTGCAATCAAGGAGGTAAAACCAAGGACAAACATTAGGTGTATATCCATCTTATCAAAACAACCATAATCCTACAAATACATAAGATGACTTAGGGTCTCAATATATTGAGAACATAAATAGGTTTTAAATACATCAAAACCAGCAACTAGCAGAGATTTACTTCAGTGAAGTATGCTAATATACTTAGGGATACACTGAAGTAGTTAAAAACAACTAACAACTTGCCTTGCAAACTATTGCTAATTAAAGGAATAAAATGTTAAAGTTAGATTTCAAAAATTAGCTCGCTGATAAAGTTACAGATTTCTTGCTTTCTTGATTAAATGTTATTATCCTACACACAAGGCCAAGTCCTTGTTAAGTTGTATCTGTTAATAAAGGAGATAATAAAGCTCATGGTCAAGGCCATGAGGAAGGTTCAAGTTAAAACAAGAGTGGTGATGGTGTTGCACTTTTCAATATATTTCTATGCTGCTATGGGTTTATGGCTAAAACAGTAGTTTGGTATAAACAGTTGAAAACGTCATGCAAAAATGACATGTTTTAAACTGTTTCTTTCCATCTCAATTCCACTTTTAATGTTTCCTTGCAACCTTCTAGAAGGCTTAGACTATTTATTCCATGTAAACTATTTGCAAAAGGTGCAGACTATATTTTGTTTGCATGCAACTATGATAAAAAAGCATAAATCTTTGTCAAGATTTTCAGGCCTAATTACATTGAATGCACACTGGCTTTTGAGCATTCAAGATTATTGTCTCATTGAAAATTATTGACTTTTATGAAGATCTTCTTTCCATATCAGTGATGACAATTTTTCACCTGCCAAATAAACTGTAAAGCCTGCAAGTGTTGATAAGGTTACAAATCCAATAAATTCTGGCATGGTTTGATGCTGGATGAAAGGGTAGCACCAAAACCCTGTGTATTTTCCAACGTGTACCAGCCATGTCATATATGTGACAGCCAGAATGGAGACACCTGTCAACCCATAAGACCTCTTTGGATACATAAACTGGATCAGCCAAATACCAAGGCAATTTAATATAAAAGGAAAAGTGTGAAGATATTGATTATATACACTTGATAGTGGCACTATTTTTCGTGTTTCCTTGGAAGCAAGGCCGTCCGGCTCCATCAGGGTTATGATCCAGAAAAGGACACATACCATAACACCAAACGGAAAACAAATAGAGACAAAAATGAAATCACCCAGTTGACGCAAGATGTGTGAATTTATTCTAGCACCTTTAAGCTTGTGAAATTGATTCTGACTGCGGGAACTTTCTTCATCTTTGAATAGTAACATGTAAATTTCCACAAAAACAGCATAAGCAAAATAGCATAGATGGAAATATTGGTTCCAGTGCGTCAGAAACTTGAATCTTCCACCGTAACTTTCAAAAATTGGCAGCTTAATGTAAGCCAGCTCATAGGCACATCCGATAACATTTGTAAAAAGGCAAAATGCATGAAAAGGAACATAATACTTTTGGCCTAAAACACTTCTCATTTTAGCCTCGCCCTTACGAAGCCCAGTACAGTAGAGTGAGCAAAACAAAACTTCTTCGAAAATACCTAATGTAATCAGTCACAAATTCTAGGTAAAAGGACACAGGGGAGAGAGAAACATTTTAAAAAATTCAGGCCTAATTACAAAAAAGTGCTGCTGGCCGACAATGGAATGCGGAGGGTGAGAGTAAAAGCTGTGCACCCAGCGAGTAGAGGGTGGCAGTAAAAGGGGGTCTCTAAGAAGGCACTGTCTCTGGGAAAATTACATATGACTAGTCTAGACCACAGAATAACCGTTGACCATGCATAAATTTTCATATTATTGATAGCTAAAATTAAATATGATCAAAAACAGACTCATAGAGAAAGGCAGACTAGACTAATTTCCAAAACATTGACTAAAAGTCTGGGATCTGGTGACCAAGCTGCAATATAGACATTTTTACGGGCATAGATTTCACTTTTTAAGTATGATATTGCGACTTATCGACTTTCTTTCTCATCGTTAATTGGAGCCAAGGTAATGGGGGAATTGCCCCACCAGGCCCTCTAACTTCCCCCACCACTGAAGACCAAAATGTTCCTTTTACCCCAAATGCCTAGGCCATTGTGGGGCCCTTTCAAAAGAAAGTGCCCGGGCCCACTAACAATTTGAAACATGACAAAATAGTGACAAACGTAATCCCTTTTGTGTTTAAGCAATTGATTTGTTAACTTTGTCTAATTCCTGAAAGGTTCCATCATCCTGCCTAAACCCGTTCGCAAAGGGCCTCATCTTTCCATTTTGCCACAGGGCCTCCAATACCTCACGGTGACACTATTCCAATTAAACTGAGAATGATCCCATTTTTAACCTTTCTGGAAACTTTGTTACAAATTTCTCATAAACATCCAGATTTTTAAATGAAAACTTTTTAACAGAAAATCTTTTCTAGTTTGATTTCTGATCTTAAACATTTCATGAATAAAGATTCCAAATTGGACTATCAACAATTTGTAAGTATTTTTTAAAGAGACTTCGTTATAGTAAATCGTATAAAATCTTGAAACCTAAGAGTCAATCCTAGAATAACTCGGCATCGAAACAGCGCGATCATTATGTCATGAATATTTTCTTTTCCAAAAAAATGAAGAAATGCAAACACCAAGATAACAATTCCCCATTCCAAGCATATTGCAGTTTGAAGCACCGCACAATTTCTTGTCGTGGACGTGGCCCTTTTGAGAAATGCCCCACTTCTGAAAAATCCTTAATAAATGCCACGAGCCAAGGGGCATATCACTCCACAAAAATCCCGTTCGTCTTTGGCAAAAATCCTTAAAAAGATTCGAGAATAATCCTGGAAAAATCCCTAAGTGTTCAAATGCTCTTAAAAAATGGCGTAGGCAGTTTGGTAAGAGCGATACACCCTTCGACTGACCAATGCAAGAAAGGCGGCGAAGCTCAAAACTAACAGGGAGCTTGTCGGGACTTTTCCATTGCTTTCAGGCATATTATTTCTAAATAGCCCCAGTTACACCAGCTACGCGGGCACGCTGCAGCCCTTCTGTCAATGAGAGTAAAATTTCCCTCAAAAAAGACAACAATTCACTTAAAACCCCTAATAAATAATAGGAAAATTAGCCTAGGTAAAGACAAGAATTCTGTCCAAGACCCAGATGAATTATAGGAAAATTACCCTTGGTAAAGACAATAATTCCGTCTAAGCGCCCCACTGAACTATAGAAAAATTAGCCTTGGTAAAGACAAGAATTCCTTCTAAGCACCCCACTGAACTATAGGAAAATTAGCCTTGGTAAAGACAACAATTCCGTCTAAGCGCTCCAATGAATTATAGGAAAATTTGCCTCTGAAGGAAAGACGTCTTGCCTCTATGTCAAATTGAATGGACATGCCCCGTAGGGGCCACGTGATAAAAACAGCTTGCTCTGCTAAATAATTTTGTAAAAATTTCACTCGCACTCCTGTGACTATCGTTAATCAAGGGGTCGCCTGAAAGAAAAAGTGGTAGAGGCTCCCCCCTTCCTATAGAGGTAGAGTCAATCCCCACTGAACTTTCCCAATCAACTAAATTTCCAATCAACTAGGTTCATCTCTGGGAAAACCAGTCGAGTCTGCGCGCAGGCTATCTTAGTACACTTTTTTACTACTGCAGAGTGGGAGGGTAATGGGCGTGGCCAATGAGACCACGCCCATTTGCCTCGTGTCAGTGCCTTGTAAGTTAATTTTTTTGAAAAAAGTAATTACTCCCCACACCACCCTTGGCACCGCCACTGCTGTGCACTATGAATTTAAAGCATTCCATATTTCCATGTAAACGAAAATGATGCGCATCAATGTCAACATTGGTTGGAAATTTTTCACTAAATTTTACAATTGACTCATGTTATGTTTCACAGCAAGACAATTTCGTTTTGTTTATATCCATGTACAAAACCATTTTTTCGATTGCTGCCGAAATCCCATCAACTCAAGTTGGGTGATCGAGGATCATTTGGAAAAAAGAATTTTTAAAATCGGCCGAGCGGTTTTGGCTGGCAAGCGTCTTTACCGCC